ATTTCATTACATGGGGAAAGATGCTCAGAGAATGGTCTTCATTTGACTTCTGATTCTTCACTGCACTCTGTAAAGTTGCAAGAATTAAGAGGGGAGATCCTCATGCTCACTCTAGCCCCTTTTAGACAGGTGAAAGCGTTAGATTGGCATAAACAGGCTCTAAAATCCCTAGATCCAGCTGAGGTAGGATTCCTCCAGTATGGGAAATAAGGGAGACAGCAATAGACTCTCTCCCTAACACCCCATTGCAAACCATTCATTTTTGTTGACATTCTTCAACTTTTCAAAACAGAAAATTCCTAAACAAAAAAAAATTTATTTCATCTCGAAATTTTCATTTTGTTTTTCATAAAATTGAAAAAAATCAAAATTTTGACATTTCATTTTCTCACTTTTTTTTTTTGACTTTTTCACCAGTGAATGCAATAGAATGATGGATGTTTAGGATTTTGGAGGTTTTCACAACTTGCTTTTTTTCCACTCTAACTTTTCAACTTTAGAAAAGTTACACGGTGGCAAAAGGAAAAATGAAATATTGTAACTTTGTGACCCTGTAATTTCCCAAAAGTTTGAAGTGTTTTGAAAAGTTAGGGATGAGGGGGGTGAAACCCTCCCTTCTCCCACTAAAACCTGCACAATATTTATTGTTATTACAATGTTTTCTGTGTTCTGTGGCAAAAAGGGGGGGAAACCACAACATTTCAAACATTAAGAAAAGTATATATGTTGTGATCATATTTGGAAGAAAAAAACAAAACAAAAAAAAAGTTCAGTTTCAAACCTTTCAAATTTCCAAAACTTCTCACAAAATTGTTTTTCCATTTTTCTACCAGCCTAACTCCTGACTGTCAACTCTGCTGATTTCTCTCTCACTGCTGGCTTCCTAGTCCTCCTTGCCAGCTCATTCCTCTCCCTACTGCTAATTGCTCTTGTACTCCCCTGCATAGCTGCAAGATTGAGCCCAGGTTGCGCAAGTTGATTGACTATGATGTGCTTAGTGCACACTGACGGTGTGTCAAACACTGCATTGATCAACATACAAAACCCATCCACCTCAAATTATTTTCAATTAAAATGTTAGGGTGTTTTATATATGTGGTGTGGGACTGAACACTCCCCAGTTAACGTTCAGCATGATTCACAACGTGTTGAGACATTTATACAGATAGTAATGGAATTCCCACCATGGAGATGTCAATGTAAGAGGATTTCCTGGCTGGGGGAGAGATGCCAGAAAGGTTCTATGCCGATCTGTGATGTAGGAGGTGTGCTAAGGTAACTCCCGAGGGAATTGATAGGGTTATTCTTGGCTGTCCACAGTCTGTAGGAGAGTAGCCATAGTGTAAAAGTAGAATGGTCTGAGGTTGCTCTATGCTAGACTGGAGACTGGCCAGCTCCCAAACATCAAGAAAAAGAGACAACTTTATGTGTCCCACCCTCTACCCCTCCAGCAAGCCCATCCCCATGCTCATACATTAATCTTAGCCAGAATAAAGAAGCAGGCCCAAAGATCACTTGCTCCACCACTGAAATACAGCCAATTTTTCAACCACAGCAACTATAACAGCATTTAGCAGCACCACACAACACTTGAGGACATGAAGTGATCACAATTCATATCAAACAGCTACCTGACAATGGGCAGAGTCAAAGGACAGCTTAGTAAGGATAGGACTCCCGAGGTGGGACATGACAGGTTTCGTGTTTGCCTGCAGTGATCCTCCAAAATAAATGAATGATCCTGAAAAATAAAATCAATTAAATGTTAGAAATACTGTCTCACAATGGTGAACATTTATCTGAGAGAACTAGCCTTTCCTTAATGATCTCCTCATGCATATTGAACACCTTCATTTATTCTAACAAGTGGAGTAGCATTCTCTTCCATTAGTGCCTCATAGATCACTAGGGAAATTTTGGGACAGACTTTGGCTGCCCCTGTATGAGTCTGAAAGGATAGGGTGAGAGTGTAGGGTGCTCTCTCCCCCACTCCCAGTGGCTCCATGTGGAAGTCCTAAGTACAAGGGTGGGGGACCTGTTGTAGAAGAAGAAACTAGTGACTCCAGCAGCACTCAACACTCTAAAGCCCAAAAGCTGGGCTGTTTGGAGTCAAGGCTAAGGTCTCCCCATCATTGTGCCTGAAAGTGCTCAGAGGCCACTGTTGAGCAAACACTGGACATCTGCAAGGAAAGCTCAAATACTGGGGTCCAGCACTTCTCCAGAGAGGTTCTTCTTGCATCTGCCCTCCTCAGACAGAAAACTTCAGACCTCTCTCTCTCTCTCTCTGTGTCAAGCACTACAGCTGCCCAGCTATCCCACTCCTCCACATCCCACTTCCGGAACGGGTCCAGTTCTCAAAGTGCAGGAAGGGTGCACCACTAGGAGCGCTGAGAGCCTGAGAGATCAAAAAAATACAGACCTCTTCTGGGAGCTCCAAAAGACACACTTTAATTGGTTTTAAATAGTGGTGTAAATAGTGTTTAGAATCAAAATTCAATGAAACTCAGATTAGGTACAGCATTCAGTTTATCCTTAACAAATTCCCACGGCAGCCTAGCAGTGTTTAGGCATGTTAACAATGTTGTGAACCAATGAAATAAGCTATATTTTCTCCTGGGGTCTGCAGGCTTGACATTGTTGTCTGTGCTAGTGGGGATGAAAGCTTAATTAAAGATCTAATCTGAATTCTGGCAAACTAACTGCCTTTGGACTGGAACTACAACAGATGTTCTCAAGACAAAGGTAGGAAAGGATAAACATCTTCAAGGGCCCCTAAAGCTGCACATTTTAGGAGCCATCAATGCTGCCTTCATTGAATACTGAAAAGTTTTTCATGAAAGTCTATGCAAAGTAATACCAAGGGCTCATTCTTGTCCACTGATATTACACTCATCGTCTTGTATCTTAGAAAATCAGTTACTGTGCTGGCACAATTATGCACAGTAGCCATTTCCCCAGTGATCCATGGGAATGGAGCAGAGGGCTGGATCCAGCCCTAAGTGAATAATGACATACACAATTATATACAGGTTTAGATTTACCCAGCTTGGTACAGAGAGGTGCCAGGCGCACCTTCCTGAACAAACAAAGCCTGCTACTCTCCACAGCATCAGGGAAGCCATCCTCACTGATAAGCAGGCAGTGTTTTCACTGGTACTTCATGGGACACAGCTTCAGTCTGTAGGTGAGGCTCCATAGTAGCCCTGTCAGCAGAGGTTGTGGAGGACATATCCTATCCTGAGCCAGCATTACTCACTGGTCTCACTGGTCTAGCTGTGCTGCTCCCCTCCCCCAGCAGAAGGAAATTGTGGCCATATCACACTTCTATAACTTCCTGCTGGCAGAATTACTGTAACCAGAGGCACCCTATCTCCTGCTAAATGCTGACAGGAGCGGGCATAAATCAGGAGTGAATCTACCCTGCTGAACTGAAGAAATATGGAGAACTACCAGCGAGATCCTCACCCCTCCCCACTCCAGCCCCTTTACACTGTTTAAAAGGGTCAAAGTAGTGTAAAGGGGCCCTAAAATCCTCATATCTAACCAGGGGAGGCTCCCCCATGCAGGCATGGCGAGGGACAGCCATAAGGAGTGTCGGGGTGGGGCTGAGGTTAGGAGGGATCTGTTGAGGTGGGGCCACAGCATGGCAGGAATTATGGGCAGCTCTGCAACTCATCTGGTAGCCTGAGGAGGCTGTTTTAACTTAATCAGGATCCCAAGACTGACCAGGTTATGCCTGGGACTCCTCCAGCCCCCCAGGATTAGGAGTGCACAAAGGTGGCTTCAAAACTCCTCAGCATCCTTTTCTTGGGCTGTAAGTTCTATGTTGTGCCTCTTAATTCTGCAGGGTTTGAATGGAGTACAGGAAATAATGTGTGGGGCCACGTACTGAATGTTTGGAATAAAATGAAATATTGAAGAGCTGCTCATTAAGTGAGCATTGCCCATCCTTGTACCCTGAAAGAGGCATGGATCCTGTGGAAAGAACAGTATGGATCACATCATTAAAGATTGTATCATAATGCATACACATAAGGGAGTCAAATTAAGGTGGCACAGGCGACCTAAATTCTGGCTTTTCCTAATTATTGATTGCTTGACTTTTGCAATATTAACATGGTTTTAATGTATTTAATATGTAATATTATTTTTTAAAACTCATTTTAATAGTAGTGGGAAAGCTTTATCCAAAATTGGCCTTGGAGCACACCCTAAAGGTGGTCAGGCTTTGAATTAGTCTATTCTCCTCTGGACAGTGCATAATAAATCCTAGATTTTGATAATGCTGCAATCATAGAACGCTTGACACTGTAGGTTATGTAAGACTTTTCAGTATTGCACAATGCTTTGTAAAAGCGTTTTACTTTGCAAAAGAATGCAAATGGGCCTTCTTTATTTAAATTCCTTTTCCTCTGCTGAACACACTGCATAACAGCAATGAGAGAGCTACTGACTGAGGTAGAGCAACAATGCAAAGGATACTGCACGTGCTCTGCCTGTCCCAAGCAGAAGTGATCAGTGTGCCTGTACTGTAGAAAAAGAAAACTCTTTAAATTATTTACTGTGGATTCAGTCCTGGCTTCAGTGGAAAATTTACTTGAGAAATAACTAAAATAATAGGCTCTGTCTGAATACTGGATATAATGGTGGTTTACTGTAACTATACATGAAAGAAGTTGGCTGTCTCTGTCCAATGAGCAAGAGCTCAAGAAATCGAAACCAACATTACAACCAGCATTAATTAGCACCTCACTGGCTGTCTCAAAGAAATTAATCATGGTATAGGCATAGAAACTAAACTCCAGAGACTTCTCTGGGGACTTCTCAGGAAGAGCACAACTGAGGAACATTAAGGGGACAGAGGGAATAAGCTTGTACGGATGCTATCCATGTTACATATATTGTGTAGTTTTTAGTCTCCAGTGCTGTCTGTCAGTCAGGCATCATTCATAAGCATTAAAATTCACTTTTAGAAGGGAAACTATGCAAGAGAAGCTCACCGTGTTCACTGTTGGTTGTATGGTCTCGGTTAGGAAGTTTTGTGTCATTGGAAGTCTCTCCTTTTACTATATTCCACTTAGCATCTTCTGTGTTTATTGGCTTCCAGCCACAAAAATCAGACTCAAAGTTACACGTAGTATAATTTGCTATTGTAAGCAGAAAAATAAGGAAAATCATATATAACAGTTTTATGCTGGAATTGTCACTCTTATTCTCCTCAAGTGTAAACTAGTCTGCCCTATTTTAAAAAAAAAGAACTAATGGTATGTTTATTGCAATATGAATCACTTTTCTGGGGGGAGGCAGGGGGAATCACCAATGTTCTAAAAGTGTATGTAACATGCTAAACAGGTTTGTCCATCCTCAGTTGTGATACACGTAATTCTAAGAAGAAAAGCCTGTATTAATTAAGAAGTTCTTGATTTTAACGGTGAAATCTTAATGGAGTTCTGTCAACAGGTGATTCATTTGCAAGTAGTTACAAATACTTCCTGAAATCACTAAAAAGGAAAACTTTTTACAGGAGAAAGCTCATTAAGAATGTATGGTAAAATGTTCATTGAAAGTCAATGGAACTTAAGGCCTAAGTGCTTAAGTCACTTTTGAAAATGGGATTTAGGCTCCTTAATCACTTAGACACTTCAGAAAATTTTACCCAAAACATACAAGGCAATTAAACTGCAATCAAGTTGTCTGAATGGCTTCAGATTAGACCAACACTGGCTGTATAACAACATTGCACTCTCTCAATTTTCTACTTAACTCAAAGAAGGCACTATCTCCGGAATTATAGCCAAATTAAATAATTTATTAGTATAATACATTATCAAAGTTTTCTTCTCAAGCACAGAACAACAACCTGGAAATGTATTATACCTTTCTAAATCCTTTAGGGCATTTATCACAGTTGTGGAAAGTACCATAGGGATTGTACACAGCTGTGACAAAGATCCAAAAGCATTTATTACATCATGCAACTATCATTCCAGACTACATTTAGTGCTCTGCTTTTCACAATTTGCTAACATAAAATAGAATACTGCTCTGCTCACATGACTCAGCAATAAGATTCCTCACACTACGCAGACAAAGGCTCTCCCAACTATTGATAAGTCCTATGCTAAGAAACAAAACACTTCAATCAGTACCACTGAATTAGATCTACAATGCACATTTAATTTTAATCTAATACACTGGTACCCATTTGCTATAGTATATTAGTTAAAGATGGTACTTATATTATTAAATTTATCTAATTAAGAAATGCTTAGGTTTTTGACAAGGTATCTTGTTAATTAGACTTCAATTGCTAATACACTAAAGTAGAGTTTGCAAATTGCTATCCAGTTTAAGCTATCTTGCTGTGTACTAATTAAATACCCAGATCCCTAGGCATTATGCTTACTTAGGCAGTCATTTGATGTAGGCAGTATGAAAAAAAATGAAGAATGCATTTAGATTTGCTTTACTTAAACAAATATCTATTTCCTCTGCCTCCCCCCTCCCTCCTCCTCCAAACCCTGGCAAAGATCTACTGCATGAGAAACTGTGGACTTGTCTACACAGTCAGCTAGTGCACAGCAAGCCGGAGTTTAAATCTATAGCATACCAGTTTGCCACACAATAACTGGCCATGTGGACCCTGCTACAACACACTAAGAGTACCATAGTGCACTTGGACCAACTGCTAACAGCAGCAGCTCAAGTACACTACACAAGTTGAGTGTGGTAACAGGGTCTACATGACAACTTAGTGAACAGCAGGCTAGTGCACCGTACATTCACACCCTGACTTGCCATGCACTAATGTCCATGTGGACAAGCTCACAGTGTATGGGTTACACGATACTAATCAAAAAGACCTTCCATAGTAAGCGACTGTGCAAGGATATTACTATTTGTATAGCATTATCCAAGTGTTAGAATCTTTATACATTAGCCAGAAGTCTCCTCTTGTAAGGGACAGACCTGTCCAAACCTAAAATCCCTGTTTAATTACATAGGTGTTGTTAGATGTTTGGCTGTGTGTGTGTGTTTTTTGTGTGCTGCCCCAGCTCTGCGCAGATAGTTGGCACAGCAGACCTCAATCGACCTGCCAATGACCACAAGACTTAAGTAGCAAAGGCGCCTGGCCAGGTTTGTCATCAACAAAGCATGGTAATAGCACCCGGCAGACTCTACAAGGATACTACGACATATGTGCCCATGACAATGGATGCAGCTCAGTCAGTGGCGGGACTTTCCACTGCCCCCTAAGCTGGAAGAAGGGTTAAGGCGAGGTATTCCAACATTTATAGACAAACAATCTAGGATCAACAGCTTACGTATTACCTTATGCATTTTATGACATTATTGTTACCTCCCCTTGTACTTTCCTCCTGATGTTACAGACAAAACATTCCTATTCACCACCTGTCTTTGTACTTTCACTCCTGAGGTTTTAGACAAAATATTACTATTCATCATTTTTGTCAAATCATTTTATCATGTGCTAGGTTGGGGTGTTCTTGTGCTGGCCTGGTGGAATGTCTTTACATATTCAGTGTGTTTTAGTAATGCTAGCAATACTGGTGCTAAGTTGTGTACCGGACACTGGCTTGCAGGCAAGCATCTGCTTTTGACATGGCCTAACTGTTGCTCATAGCATAACTTTTGCTGACTTTAGTTCAGGCCCCAGGCACCAGGCCCATGCTTCAAGCTCTTTCTTTCTACTACACTGGCGGTCTTCTGCTTGGATTTTAAATCTGGATATAGATTCCCTTTTTTAAGAGTCTATAGGGAATCAAGACAGCGCTAATGCTGACTAAATATTTTACAGAATGACAGAAAAACCACCTCAGGTAGAATTCCAGAAGGTTCTATCTTAACTCCCTTTTTATTTAATGTGTGCTTAGGTCCAGAGGTGAAAGTAAAGCGGTACAGGCTGATACGGTGTACCAGTAAGAAAGTGGCCGCCGGTACGGGCCAGTACACAGCCAACGTTAAAGTGCTGCCAAGGCAGCGATTTAAGCCGTGTATCGGCAGAGCCACTGACAGCGGGGGGGAAAGGGTCAGCTGCCCCAGGGCCTGGTGATTTAAAAGGGCTGGGGCTCCTGGCAGCAACCGGAGCCCTGGGCCCTTTAAATTGCTGCTGGAGCCCCAGGTGGCGCGGGCCAGGCAGTGCTGAAGGGCTGGCTGAGGGAATCTGGCCCTGCCCTTCCGCCTGAGGACCCGCCCCTTCTGGGGGCCCAGAGCCGCCTCCCCCACCTTGCCCAGAACCCCGCTGCCCTGCATACTGTTAAGTCCTTTACATTACTTTCACCCCTGCTTAGGTCCATTGGCAAGTTTAATGCAGAGATATGGGTCACAGTGTCTCTCTGTTGCTCAAAAGCTTGTCTCTCTCACCCTCAGAAGTTGGTCTAATACAAAAAATATTACCTCATCCACTTGTCTCTCTAATATCCTGGGACCAACAAGGCTACAACTACACTACACATACATTTAATCAAACATTCTGAGCTTCACAAAACAAGTTAATGCTTTGTGAACATTTTTTTCCATAAATGAAATCCTTGTGCAACTATGCATTCAAAAAGTCATTCTATAAAACAGTTGAAACACAAAGCTTGTACTACACTATATATACAATGAAGAAATCCATGAAAAAAAAATCTTGTATGCTGCTCGATCTACAATTCACAAACATTACACAGATTAAGACCTGATGGACAGATGTTAGCATGCCCTGAAAATTAATGTGTCTCACATAGAAGGTATAAACATGTACTAAAATAAATATTCAGGATCAAGAAAACCATCCACCCACTTTAAACTCCCCAGCACAATAAATATGTATATACTTTAATCTTTTAAAAGTTAATCTTTAAAATTTCAACTTTAAAACTTTTCAAGTATTTACAAATACAAATTGGTATTCTGCAGCAAAATGTGTATATTTCCAAAATTATCCAAATAATTGCCTGACTTTAGAGTATTTTCTACTCAATGATTTACACCTTCACTGAGCCTAACAACGTCTAATATCTAGAGATAGAGCAGGTGACTTCAGAAGAATTAAACTTCTCCTCAATATGAGTGGTCTTAAGGGGCTTCTCACCAGAGTTTCCAAACAGCAATAGGTACTGTTTATTTTTTGGAAACAGTTACAGAAAGTTACTCCTCATAATGATGTTGTAGCTCTATGAATGTTGATTGGTGGATATAAGTGACATTTCCAGAAGTATCATAATGTGGAAATGTCACAGTGTAGTTGTTCAGGTCAACAGGTGCTTTACAGAGTTCCTGCAAGTAGTAGGAATACCGAGTCTAACTTGTTTGTAATGTTCATAACATATAACAGTATAGTCTAACCTAATGTGGTATCTGAATTCCATACAAAAAAGTTTGCTTCATTAGCTAGTATGGCATTTGCAGAAGATCTTTCATATTAGGTGGACAAAAATTTAAAAATATCACTATAATGTTACCCATCCTTCAAGTTAGTTTTCTAAATGCTGAATGCATGTTTTTTATTTATGAATGAATGAATTGTGATCCATTCATTTATTGGCACCCATCGTGAAATGGGAAATTTAGGAATAGTTTTGAAAAGGACCTATGCAAAGAGGAATTTTTTAAAATGTAGAACCTGAACCTGCAAACATGTGCCTTAGTAACTTACTCACATGATTAGGTTGATTTCAATGGGACTACTCACATGAGTAAAATTATTCACATGCACAAGTGTTTGCAGGATCAGGCCCTTATTTTTCAGAAGTTTAGAAGAAGAAATGCATTTTAGGTATATGAAGAACTGTATTGCACCTCTGAACTAATAGTTATATAGAAGTACAATAAAAACTTACCTATTTCATACAGTAATAATTTATATTTTTATATCATTTGTGTCAAGTTAGCTTCAATGAAGGAAAACATTATGTCCTTCCCTCCTATTATAAAGAAGCAATTGCATTAAAAGAAAACTTGAAAGAACAGGAAATATCCTGTAAATCACTAGGTAACAGTTGGCTGCCTCTGTATTCATTCAGAATGGAGAACTGCCAGCAGAGTCCCATGAGAGTCCTTCATCGGAAGGAAAATACTGAGGATAAATGTGTCCAAGAATAGATGCTAAAATATGTACCAATGTGCTGAGTAGGAATTTTGTTTAGAAATTCATGTAAAAAATGTAATGCACTCAAATGCACTTGATGAGGTCAGTTTTATGACTACTCTGAAAATGAGAGACAAGGTGGAAGAGGTAACATCTTTTTCTGGACCAATCTCTGTTGGTGAAAGAGGCCAGGCTTACACTACAAACTTACATTGGTATAAGTACGTCGCTCGGGAAGAGGGGGGGCGTGTGAAAAATTCACACTCCTGAGTGATGTAGTTATACCAACCTAACCCCCAGACTAGACAGTGCTATATCGATAGGAGAGCTCCCGTCCACATAGCTACCACCTCCCATGGAGGTGGATTAACCACACCAAAGGGAGACGCTCTCCCATCAGTGTAGTAGTATTTTCACTAAAGCTGCAGAGCTGAATGTGTAGACAAGCCCAGAGATGAGCTTTTTAGCTTACACAGAATCAGAAGGAGCTATGAACAGTGTATATGAAATGCAATGAAAGGAAAGCCATTAACTATATGTAATTGTGGCAAGTTACCTTTGCTTTTTCATTTATATAATACATGTTCTTAACAATCAGTCCTCACTGAGAAGGGCTTTATTCACTTTCATAAACAATTTTTGCCTCAAAAGCATTTTTATTGGATTCCAAGATAATATCCATACCATTATTCTCTTATATAGTTACTTTACATGAACCAACTGCTTGTTATCATTAAGTGTCCATCTGATTAAAAATGGATCCTTAAAGCATTGAGGAATACACAATGCATAGCGCACTCTGCATTGGGCCCTGTTCCTCCTCCTCAGGAAGGCAGGATTAAGCCTGAAACAACACAAGTGAACCAGTAAGGCTTGAAATAGGGAAATGCCAAAGATATAAGCACTGGCTTGGGTTCTAAATTGGAGATAAAGCAGCACGACTTTCCTTATGTACACGGTTGTTTAAGTGATCAAAAGATATTGATTCAGACTGCAAGGCAGGTAGAGGGGGAAATCATCTATAATTTTTAATTATTTTCAAATAATTTTAACAGAAAATTTTATTGACCACAGTCTCAGTCCAACCTAACTTTAGGTGGCTACACTTTTAGGTGCACAGAAATTCTGATTTGCACCTGCAAGCAGCATTACATATGCAACTATCAGTATCCTATCTGTCATCTGCATGAATAAATTCAAACATTTGGAAGTTTAGAAATGTAGCCAACACACATATAAGTATGCCATATAATCTTCGTTTAGAAGCCAGAGCATCCATTAAAATTACTTCCATATGCAGCTTTAAACCAAGGCAGGCTCATAAATATGAGCATCGTCTATAAAATTTAATTACCGTTCTTTCCTGTGGCTTGCATGGTGGAATTGTGGCTACTAAGCAAAGTAAGCTTCAATTAAAAATGTCATGGCTAAGATACCGCTACTAAACTGAAGCAGTTGCTAATTAAAGGCAGCCTCCAAGCGAAGGTACATATAAATATTATATTGCCACATTACACACACGTACATGCTCTCATTCAGTCACAGACGGATGAAATTAGAGAAAAATTCAAATTTTAGATGAAATTAGAGCAAAATCTAAACCCAGATTTTAAAAAAAAAAATACCTTATAGATATATAAATAATTGGGGATAAGTCTGAAACACAAACATCATACAAATCTCTGTGCCCCTCCAAACTATTTAGAATTTATTATCTGGATCTGAATCTTGCTGCTGGGGCCTGGAAAGAAAGATGGTGTGATCAGTTATAAATTTTTTTTACAAGATCTTGTAAATCATCCTAGGCCCAAACCTTCTGGATGAAAGCTGCTATATAAATAAGGTACTGTACTATTATTATCAGCTTTCTATCTAGTTCTTCTCTGGTTATGATACAAATGTTATCCTTCTATACCACAGTGCTTTTTGGCATCATCTCTTTATAAAACAACGTAATTCACTTACAAAAAGCTGTTGGATCTTCATCACTCCCATCAGAACAGTCCAGCTGGTAATCACAGGCTGATCCACTGGCAACACCCTGGCCATTGGCACAGGTGAACTCCTCTGGGGAGCAGAGCTCTGGTGATTCTGTTGCCCAGTCTGAGAACTGGAGGTTATCCAGACAGATAAACCCTGTCCTGCTCTGAATAGTTCCTTCAAACACAAGCTGTGAGAATTGTTATTGGTTAAAATATGTGTGTAAATATATGAACTGACAAAAGAAAACAGGGATTTTTCTTTCACAAAATGTAAAAGATTTATTATAGATGGTGCAGGTAGCTGCCCTTTATCAGACTCTTATATTATAGCTACTTATATCTTTGCCAAACAAACTGTTTAGGCTGAAATTTCCCATGCTGGGTGTCTGCTTCACAATAAATTTTATTTTAAAGGTTCAGCTGCTTCCAAGAGTGTGGCTAGAGAAAAATGTATTGCCCGTGTTAATTTTTTTTACAACAGTTTCATTGATAAGATGCAGATCCTCCATGCCTCAGAGCTACCAGTTACTCCACAGGTAGAGGTCTATGCTGAAAAAATTGTATGTTATCATGAAATTAAAGACGATCATAATGCACATAGGCACTGACTTCCTCTCTACGCGGGGAGTGCTCAAACCCTGCTCCACCCCAGGCCCTGCCCCCACTCAACTCCTCCTCCTAACCCCCACCCCATCCTGCCCCACCTCTTCCCGCCCTCTCCCCCGAGCACACCCCATCCCCGTTCCTGCCCCTCCCTCCCAGCGCCTCCTGCATGCCGCAGAACAGCTCAGCAGGGCTGCTGGTGGGTGGGAGGCGCTGGGGGGAGCTTGGCTGCCAGTGTGTGCTAAGCACACACTAATTTTGTTATGTGAGTGCCCCAGCCCAGGAGCACCCATGGAGTTGGCACCTATGATAATGCGTATACACAAGGGGGGCAAAATAAGGTTGTACAGGCAACCTTAATTCTGGCATTTCCTAACTTTTGAGTACAAATTCAATGTGGGAGTTTTGTTTGTTTGTTTTTTATGTAATAACTCATAGGACATAAGCCTTGTTCTTGTTCAGCTAAATTCAGCTTTGTTACTTTATAGTTTCCTTGGCACATAATCTATGCAATGTAAAGGGTTTATTGTGGTTTGCTCATTCACTGAAATGAATTCATTCTAGTACACCTAAAGACTAGGGAAACTGATTGTTTAGATACCTTTCAGTAACCAAATATTCTGTCTTTCCCCAGAAGTTTTTTTTTTAATTGATGGGGTTTGCAAATACCTTACTTATAAAATACCAGAACAAATACAACATTACTAAAGCAAAATTAGAAGAGAGACCTAATAATTCACTGAAGATTTTAAAAACTAAATACTGGAAAAATTTGCATTTTTCTTTGAACCAAAAGAATCAAAGGGGCTATCTCCTCCCACTGACACTGGTGTTCATCAGAAGTAACTCCACAGAAATTACTGGAGTTCCACTGGTGTTAAATGGTGTAAGAAGTGAGAGAAGAATCAGGGCCAAGCTGACTACTGTATGGGGATACATCTTTTACCCATTTGTAATTAAAGCTACTGGCTGTAGGAAGTGCTTTGTTAGATTGTTTTCTGTTGAACTATAACCAGAGCCTAAGTTGCACCCAGTCAATAAAAATCAGAGAGCCATTGAGAATAAACATGATTTTAGTAAGTTATCTTAGTTTCCAAGAAGCTTTAAAAACAATAACAAAAATTATGCATTTTCAGAAGACAAGTGCTTGCCTTTTTCACTCATACCTTTAATTTTTTCAGATTTGCTGGCACCTGCACATCTGCTCTGACCCACTCATTGTTAGTTGATGTGTTGGTTTCCCACAGTACTTGTTCCTCCTGTCAGATGTAGAATAAAAAGTTACAAAGAAAAGTTTATCTCCCTATGAGTTATCTGGACTTTTTTTCCCCTTGCTCTTTTCATACCACAACCAGAACTTCCCGTCTGCCCCGTCACTTTCCATGAGGAAACATGACTGCGTGTTTTTATTTGTAAGCTTTACATTACTCTTCCAGCCTGGACTCCATATTCTTCCAGCATCTGACCACTTGGAGATCTATGGGATTTATTTTAGTGATTCAGGACTGGATGGAGAGCAAAATTACTGTTACATAAAGCACATATTGTTGAACCATATAAATATTAAATAGATAAGTATATTGGGACCCTGGGTGTGAGTGTCCAGTTTCCTTTCTTCCAATAGATGGACATGGGCAAGAGTTGTGGGATGTCTTCCTTTTTCGTACAGTACATTTCAGCCGCTATCCTTACAGTTGGCAGAGATAACCACATCTTTTCCCTGAACTATTTCCTACTGAACTCCAGTTATAAAAATAAAATAAAAAATTCATTTTTTGACATCTCTCTACAGGTGCACTCACACACACAGCTGTTGTGACTGTACTTATTTCCCTCCTGCTACTTTCATTTCAGTGAGTAATATGGAACAAATACTTGATTCCCCCCATGATGACTAGGGGACCATTTTTCACTATGCCTGCAGGGGAGTTTTTTGTAAATGTTATTGAACATTTCAAGATACTTCAGTGCATGTGGGTGAGGACATGCCTTCTCATATAAACCTAATGGAAGGTTAAGAATTAAGTTATCTTTTACTGCCTTCTCTCCACCAGCTTTGTAAACCATATAATAAAGCAAAATCACTCCAAAAATAAAATGTTCTTTTAGCTTGTTTTTGTTCTTTCCTCACCAGGGCTCTTCTCTGTGGTAGGTAAAAGCTATGAATCATTTAAAATATGTATGAAAAACCTTTTTAAAAGTATTGCCTTTGATGAGCTGGTGGCTCAGTCTCTCAGACTGATATCGGGAAAAACAAAATTAACCTGCAAGAAAAAGCACTCTTTTGGGGTTCAGCCTATCACATCTGCACACAACACGATCAGTTACTGCTCAGTTCTTTTAATTTTCAAGAGGGAAAAGGCTTCAACCCCTTTGTCCTAGTTTTACTTCTAGAGGATACAACTTCTGCAGTGAAAGCACATGATTTGGAGGCAGGACTGACAGACTCTGCCACAAATTTCCTGCGTGAGCTTAAGTAAGTCAGTTAGTCTCCAATTCTGCAAAGACTTAGGTACTTAACTTTATGCACAGTGAGTAGTCCAACTGAAGGCAATGGGACACAATGCCTAAAGTTACGCATATTTGTAAATCTTTGCAGGAGTGGGGCTTTAGTTTCTACGTGTCTCGGTTTCCCAATCTGTAAAGTGGGGTAATAGTGCTCACCTATTTTACGGAGTTGAGGATAATATTAATGATTCTAAATGCCTTAAGGTGGAAGACAATCTACAAGTGGCAAGTACTATCACTGTATTATCTCTGAATGCATTGAGATGGGTGCTGTGCACATTGGAGGGAGGGGTTTAAACAATATTTTCTCTGTCCTTCTCCATGTGCAACAGACAGAAATGTAAGTTTCTCTACTTCATCCTGTGAACGGGTTTCCTGATCTGCAGGATAAGAGAATCGCAGTGTCCATTCAATCCTGGGCCTCTGCTGAGATGGCTAGCAAGGATGACGGTAGCTTTAAAGGCATACACTTGTCCTCTAAGAACTGGACTGAGACCTGCTCATTTCACATCAGCCACCTGAGACACCCAAGAGTCATCAGATGGGATCAATTTGCTGTCTCTAAATATAGGTCGTATTGAAACTGATTCAGAGGTGAAAATCTCTATTTTCCGTTGGAAAGCTAAGAGCTTTTGTAACTTCATCTTTCCTCTTTTCCAGTCATCCAGCCTTGGATAACACTCTGCTCTCACTTCTGGGGATAAAAAAAATGTAATTTAGTAAGAGATCATCTAATTGTCAGTTCCTTTTGAACATTGCCCTGCAGTTCAACAGCTTTGCTGGCTTTTACACGTGGAACCATTCAAATTTCCTGATGTTTCTGTGGCTCATTTTTTTTGTGACCAATTTTGAAGACTTGCTCTTTTTTCATCAAGATCTTAGGCTTTGTCTACACTAGCACTCATGTCAGCAAAACTTTTGTCAATCAGGGGGTGTGAAAAAACACCCCCCCCCCCCGACCGACATAAGTTTCACCAACAAAAGCGCTGGTGTGGATAGCACAATGTTGCGGGAGCTACCGCCATTCGTTTCGAGGGGAGAGTTGATTATGCCGGTGAGAGAGAGCTTTCCCACTGGCATAGAGCGGCTACACAAGAGGCCTTACAGTGCTGCAGCTGCGCTGCTGTAAGGTCTGTAGTACAGACATAGCCTTAGGCCATGTCTACACTACAAAGTTAAGTCGACTTCAAATAAGTCGACATCAAGCCTCCGATTTAAGAAAGTCGATCTTGCGTGTCCACACTACACTCATTGTGTTGGCAAAGTGCATCCTCACTAGCAGGGCTTGCATCTATGCACTGAGTACTGCTCTGTGGGTAGCTATCCCACAGTGCACATAGCCGAATGGAATTTTGGGTTGGGCTTGCAATGCCTTATGGGACCAAAACATTGGTGTGGGTGGTTATGGGAACATGGCATTAGCATGCCATGATGCACTTATCTCCCTCCCTCCCTGAAATCAACAGCAAACAAACCAAGCCTTTTTCACACCTTTTTTTCATAAGCCTGGGTTACCCACGTGGACGCCATAGCACGATAAGCATGGACCCTGCTCAGCTTTACACTGTTATTGTGAGCATTACAAACACCTCACGTCTTATCCTGCAATATTTACACAGCCGATACAGGAGCCACTACACGGAACAATGTGATGCCATGCAAGCAGCCCTGCTGGAAGACATAGAGTGGAGCAATTCACAGTTGCTAGTGACAGTCACGCATCACCTTGACATGGTTGAGCGCTGTTTTGGGGCCCAGGAAACAAGCACTGACTAGTGGTACCCCATCGTTATGCAGCTATGGGATGACGAGCAGTGACTGCAGAACTTTTGAATGCATAAGGCCACTTTCCAGGAACTGTGTGAAGAGCTTTCCCCAGCCCTGAAGCACAGCAATACTAAAGTGAGAGCTGCTCTGACAGTGGAGAAGCGGGTGGCGGTAGCTCTGTGGAAGCTTGCAATGTCAGACTGCTACTGGTCAGTGAGGAATTAATTCAGACTGAATAAATCTACCGTACGATCTGTTGTGATAGAAGTTTGCAGGGCCATTAACAGACTTCTGCTAAGAAGGGTAGTGACTCTGGGCAATATGCAGGACATAGAGAATTTTTTTTCCATGATGGGTGTTCCCTAACTGCAGTGGGGAGATAGATGGAATGCATATCCCTATCTTGGCACCAGACCACCTTGCCAAAGAGTACATAAACTGAAAGGAGTATTTCTCAATGTTGTTGCAAGTGCTGGCGGATCACTGGGGCCATTTCACTGACATCAACATGGGATGGTCGGGAACGGTACGTGACGCATGCATCTTTAGGAACAAGCAGGGACTTCCTTTCCAGACTGCAAAATAACCATTGGTGATATTGAAATGCCAATCGTGATCCTGGGAGAGCCAACCTACCCCTTGCTCCCCTGGCTCATGAAGCCATATACAGGCAGCCTGGACAGCAGTAAGGACCGGTTCAACCATAGGCTGAGCAAGTGCGGAATGGTGGTAGAATGTGCCTTTGGATGTTTAAAAGGCTGCTGGCACAGTTTGCTTACTAGGTTAGATCTCAGTGAAAGCAATATCTCCATTGTTATTGCTGCCTGCTGTGTGCTCTATCATATCTGTGAAACAAAGGGAGAAAAGTTTCTGCCAGGGTGGGGGGTTGAGGCAGACTGCCTGGCAGCCAATTTTGAGCAGCCAGACACCAGGGCAATAAGAAGAGCACATCAAGGAGCTCTGCATCTCCATGAGGCTTTGCATGCCAGTTTCAGCAATGAGCCAGAGCAATGTGACACTTATCTGTGTTGTTCCTTACCAAACTGTCCCCTCCGTTGTATTTTCTGACCTGTAAACTCCACACCCACCAAGCACCATGTGTTGAATGAATAAAGAGCCTTTTCTCCTCAATCTATTAAATTTTATTATGCTCACAAACACACAGAGACAGCAAAGAAAAGTAAGATAACCTGGGGCAAAAGGGCTGATAACACTGTGGAGGGAGAAACAAGGAAAGCTTGCTTACAGATGCACTGTAATAACAAGCAAAGGTGTGGGAATGGGTGCCTTCTAGTCCTTGTAGCCTCCTCTGGTGTTGAGTGCAAGGGATACCGAATTCCCTTCTCTTCCCCCCACTACCTCAAAGGACGTTTGTGGGAGGATGATGTAGAACCGGGCGAAGATGGCAGCAGGTTCAGCATAGGCTGCAAAGGGACTCTAGCATCCAGCTGCCTTTCTTGAACCTCAACCAGATATCTCAACATATCTGATTGCTCCTTCATAATCTGCAGCATCTCTTCCTGCGTGGCACACTCTTGTTCTGTGCATGCTCTCCTGTCTTCCCTGTCTATGTCCAGGTTCTCGGACAGTGTAATCCTCCATGCGCTGAGCTCTGTCTTGTCACTCTTGGAGGCATTCATTAACTCATTGAACATGTCCTCCCAAGTCTTCTTTTTCTGTCTTCTACTCTAGGAAAGTCTCTGTCCCAGTGCGGAGGATGCGCCGACCGACAAGGTTTCAGCTGCAAGGAATGCAAAGCACAAGGGTAGCACTGACAGTTCATTTTTTCTGGTGCAAGGTTCATTTTTTTTATTAAAAAAAATCACCCCTCAATACACTTCACTGCAAGCCACAATGTAATCACAACCACTGGCTACTGCAAGAGCCATGGTGAGTAAGGCCACAAGGCATGGGCGAGAGGTCTTGTGCTGCTGCTTTTGTGAAGACATCCTTGGAACTTGAGAAAAGCCCCCTTTCCCCTAGCAACCTGGATGGTGCTTGAGGACAGGCACCAATGTAAACCCTTCCAAATAGTTTGTTTTTTACAAAAGCGGCATTGGGCTTGGGTTGGGTGGGGAGGGAGACAAAGTGGAAGCCGCCCCCACCTCCCCTTTTTTTTTTTCAATGTTGCTTGCAAAACATGGTGATCCCTTCCAACCACAACCATGCACGTTTGGGAAAGCATGGTTGTGTGACCCAGATTTCACCAAACAGTGGGCAGATTACTTGTTGAATTATTTGCAGTTTAATGGCTAGCATTGAAAACTTCCCCGTTTCCCCTAGGTGACCCTATGCGATATAACTCTCCTGAGGGTAACAGAGGCAGCAAGGGAGCAGATGCTGCAAGCATCTGGGTAGAGACCTGGTCCTTATGCTGCAATGCTGTGTGCTGCAATGATGCCAGCAGAGTTAATACTGAAGTGGCACGTGAAAGCGTCCTACCATGGTGGACGAAATAAGGCAGCCCTTCCCAGAAACCTTCTGCAAAGGATTGTAGAGTACCTCCATGAAAGCTTCCTAGAGATCTCCATGGAGGATTCCCGGGCCCATGCACAAACTGTCTTTTTCTGAGAGCACCCTCTACATAGCTGGAGTGGCCACCGATACCTACTACATCTACTTCTTTGTTTATATTCAACACTAACATGTAACTCCTACAGTTTGATTGGAAATGTGTACTCACCAGAGGTATCTTCCCCAGCATCACACTCTGCCGCCAGCTGGTCCTGTGGAGGGATGAGCTCCAGGGTTAAAAACAGTTCTTGGCTGTCGGGGAGAATGGATCCTCCACTTGCCTGCCTTAGATTCTCCTCTTCCTCCTCCTCGTCAACAACGTCCTTCTCGTTGTTGCTTGAGGTAGCCCGGGGCTCCTGGGAGGTATCGACCGAGCATTTTGGGGTAGTGGTGGGGTCACTGCTGAAAACCGCATGCAGCTCCTCATAAAAGCGACATGTCTGTGGGGCAGAACCAGAGCGACTGTTCGCCTCCCTTGTCTTCTGGCACGCTTGCCGAAGTTCCTTTATTTTCACGTGGCACTACTGTGTGTCCCTGGGGTAGCCCTTTTCCCTCATGCCCAGTGCAATCTTGGCATAGATGTCAGTGTATCTTCTGCTGGATCAGAGCATTGCCTGCACAGACTCTTCTCCCCACACAGCAATAAGATTCACCACCTTATGTGTACTCCATGCTGGAGTGCATCTGCGGCCTTGAGTCTCCATGATCAACTGGGCTGGTGAGCGCACCACGCTGATCAAACAGGAAATGAAAATTCAAAAGTTCCCAGGGCTTTAACAGGGGAGTGGCTGTTTCCTGCGTATCTGGCTAACATGCAGTGGAGTTGAAAGTGCTCTCTAGAACAGTCACAGCGGAGCACTGTGGGACACTCCTGGAGGCCAGTTCATTTGAATTACACAACGCAATGTTTACACTATCCCCATGTCGTCCCGTGGATGTCGAATCACGGAGGTGGAGTACAGAAGTCAACTTTACAGGCCACTTAGGTCGGTGGAAGGGACTCGATAGCATAGACACATACATTATTAGATTGACTTAACGCAGCTTATGTCGACCTAAGTTTGTAGTATAGACCAGGCCTAAGTGTCTGAATAGCACTGCATATGGATTGTTTCCCTCACCTTAAATATTAGGCAGTAAGCTGCCAAGCTGAAGGGGCTTTTATGCAGAGTCTTTCAATGTGATTAACAGCTCATGGCAGTTCCAACTCAACTCACATACAGTAAATACATTTTGACTGTAAGAAAAATGCAATAATTAGACCATCAAAAGGACAAGATAAATTATGGAACCAGAGTAGGTCATATCTTTGAGTGTGCATATCAATGAGCCTATTATCAATTAATTAGATTAAGTTCCCTGTGTTCTGGAGACTGACCTTTCTGTCCTCCTTCGCCTATTCTCTCCCTTAAGCAGGGAGAAAAAAGGAAAAATTAAACTGGTTAAAAATAACCAAGCCCGGATCCAGCAAAACACTTAAGCTTGTGCATAATTTTAAGTACATGAGAAGATTTACTGAAGTTGATAGATCCACCTCCATGGATGGCAGGGAGATGGGACGCTGTTGGGATTAATATAAATGGGAATGCACAGACTCTGTATCTAGTGTTAGCAGGTAAGGGCTTCCTAAATCTTGGCCTGGAATACTCACTACACTGCAGTACCCTGATACAACACCGTATGATAGATAAATATTAGTATCCCTATTTTACAGATAAGGAAATGAGACAGAAAAGATCTAGTGCCTTGCCCATGGCTACATAATGAGTTTGTGGGGGGAGCTAGGATTAACATTCAAGAGTTCCTGCCACCCATTACTATATTCAGGTCAGGTCTACAGATCATGAGACAATGCCACTGAGCAATGCTATTTCATATGTAAGCCTTGTGAATGCAGCATGACAAAGCTCTCTCCCTTTCTGATTCTTGCTGTGTCAGGTAACAATTTAATTTCTTTAGTCCCATCATTAAAATATGGAGAGCCACAAGTTAATGAGACCAGCTGCAGTGCTCATGCCTTGAGTGAGTAACTGTACAGTAGCATCAATATTAAGTTCTTTGACAGGAATATTACAAGGGAGAGATTTTCTAGGGATTCTCAGTGGCATCCCAACAGCAGAATGTGTCCTCGTTACAGATGAGGTGGGGTCAAGTAGAACAGTACAGGAGCCTGAGCCAGGACATTAAAGTTAGCGCCCTGCGTTATTTGTTGTGATTGCTTATCACAAGAAAAAGGTAACTGTGTTATACAATGAAGTAAAAAATGTGACCAGTTGGTGCAGGAGTTGCTCCCAACTTTGTGCGGATGTATGATGCAAGAATCTTTGCTTTCTACTGCCTCTGCACAGGGGACAGGCACAGTCTGAGCCTCCAGCTACCAATGCAGGTGGCATCACTTTCCCCAAAGGGACCTAGCCCAGCATGGAGGGAAGCACACATTGCATCATTTTAAAGGGCACCACAGGTGCTGCTGTCGTCTGCTCCCTGGAAATCCCAGAAAGCCTAAACTCTGGCTGAGTCCATCAAAGTACATCCTAGAATTTAAAAGTCATGTGGCCAGGTCCTCCCCTGGTTTAAATCAGTTCAGCTCCATGAAGTTCAACAGAGCTATGGTGATTTACACCATCTGAAGATCTGGCCCCCAGTCTGTCCCTAAATGTGGGGTCTGAACAATACTACTAGACAAGGCTTTCTGTTTGTTTGACTGACAAGAGCAGGACTTTCATTTCTTTACAGTCTGAAAATGAATGAAAGTTTCTCCTTACCTTATTAGTATACAGTACCACTTTGAGAACACTGCTATCTGCCATGGAGTAATAAAATTGAAAATGGCAATTCTTGCCAAAGCAGTGATACATGGAGCTGTTAAGATAAGCACTTTTGTATAATGTGTTGTCATTAGCTCTCATACACACATAATGGCCTGAAAAAAAAGAAAAGAAAAAAAGTGTACCATTTCACAAGACACCTCTTTCCCTTGGTCCTTAAAAATATGAATACTGGATTCCTGTCATCAAAAAGACAGCTAATGGTTTCAACACCAGGATCTGGTTGTCTTGTTCTAAAATTATGAAATGACATGACTTGAATTGATGGGAATTTCTTATAAAAAAAACTATAACAATTTTGTTTATACTACAACCCCATGCACCCCAATACTGGTGTCAGCTGATGCTATCCTAAAGCTGTTACTTCAGACAGTAATAGTCTCAGGCCACAACCTGTCCCACATTCTGTTTAGCTTCTTCACATTTTCAGTCATTCCATACCTAATCATTGTTGGCTTTTATCTGAAGTTTGCCTTTCTTCCTTCCCAGCGTGTTTCTAGTAAATATATTTTACAGTAAATCTGCTATAGTCTCTAAAGAATGAAATAAGGGGGGGGGAATTCTGCCCTCCTGCAGAAAACACCATGAGGTGTAAGATCTGTACAGAGCTTATGTGTACACCAAAGTGTCAGCAGCACACTGTGTTTCCATCTGAAGCAGGAAACCAATTTGGGCTTTTCTTGACCTACTGCCCCTCATAAAAGTGTTCCTACAGAGGCCTAAAAGAATACCTTATGTTCTGAACAGTCTCTTTTTATGTATCAGAAATAAAAAGACAAGACACCTGTTTTAGCTATAGCATAACTTTTTTTCCTCCTGAGTCATAGGATACTTTGCTATTTTCTGCAGCTCCCAGTTAAGATATTTCATGACATCCTTGTTTGTTATTAAGTCACTTTCACCTTCTGTAAATACAATTTTGATCTCAAATTTAGACCATACTCCTGGAACGCTTGAAACATAAAAGGGGGAAATGGCATTTCATAAAAAAGGTTTACAGTAGATTTTGTAAAAATACTCCCCCTCCTTGCTGCTCTTTTGCACTTGTTATTTAGGATTCCATATTGCAATACAGTGCTTGCTATCCCTCTTCATCACAGAACCTAACCTGCATAGAAATGGCAATATCACCAAAAAATACAGTGTGCTAGTCTATGCAGATTCAGAAAGCATCTATATTTTTATGACTATTGCACTATGAGATCAGCCATAAATTAACGGTCGAATTTCTTGTGCCCATTCTTCAACTGAACTCAGAATCCTACAGCTGGTAACATTACATCTGGAGCTGGGCAAATAACGGATTTTTCCATTTTCTGGGCCTTTCAAAAAATTGGTTGAACAACCCCAATTGGAAAATTGTGAAAAATGTTGGTAAATCAAAAAAGTCAATAAAGGTTTCATTTCAGGTTCAACAAAAAATCTTGTTGAATCTGAAATGAACTAATTTGTTTTGTTGTCATGAACTTTTTTAACATAAAAGCAAAACAAATGAAAGGCTAGATTAAAAAAACAAACAAACGGGGGTTGGCGGGTGCCTCCCTTATAACTGTTAGACCTGTGGTTAGAGCATTCAGCTGGGATGTGGAGACTTAGGTTCAGTCCCCCCCTCTGCCTGATGTGGAGCAGGGATTTGAACTTGGTTCTGCCACACTAAGCAGCTAAGGGGAATGCATTCCCAGTTACATTTACTGATCATTTCAAGAGAGGTAAGAGGGAAGGGTATGATACACATTTCAGCCTACCCTCTAGGATCTGAGCATGGTTAGCGCCAAGAGATCACGTCACCTAGGGAAATCTGGAGCCTACTCTAAGTGGTCTCTTGAGGACTCCAGTCATACTACTAGACAGTGCATGGGAGGAAAACATCTGCCCAGGCTCTCTTCTCCCTACTTATCAGTACAACACAGGAAAGGGTTTGGTTCTTATTTTAGAGTCTTGATTTGGTTGCATGGGTACATGATAAACAAGTACCGATGGAAACACTTTCTGGATAGGACTAGACAGATTTGAGTGTTCCTACCACTAGACTAACAAAGCTTTGTTAGGAAATTGGAGAAAAGTGTGTTAAAACACATTTTAAACTTTACTGTAAGGGGACAGATGTACAGTATAAGGCCATTGCATTCATAGCAAAAAGGAGATAATAGACACTGAAAGGAGTTCAAATAAATGCCCTTCTCAACTAAATTTAAAAAGGCCGTGACCTACAAGATTATGAGGAAGTGGCAAGTAGCAGCTTTGGAAATTCTGTCTGCTGAAAACTCTCCCCCCACTGCTGAAATAATTTAAGAAAAAATCTGGGGAAAATAACATACATTTTAATGATTTGGGCCATTTTCATGACATACACCTGATTGGATTTGCATCAGTAGTTATTTGTGAGGTTTTTTTATTTGTTTATTTTAAACCAAGGTGTAGAATCTGTTTTGATTTTTTTTAGGAAGAAATAACTATGGGAGCCACATGCAGTGTGGTGTAGGCTTAGAGACTGAAAAAGAAAAAAAATCTGGTAATGGATAAAAATACAGTAAGGACAGAAACTATAAGGTTAAAGGGGAGAAAAAAAACTCTGAAAGAACTTCTAACTTTAGAAAAACTAGGAGAAATAAAGTAACAGAACAAGTGGGGGAAAGAAGCAACACACACAAAAAATAAAAAGTCAGCCAAGGTCAGAAAATATTTTATTAAATTTAAGAATACCAGGAAACGAGGATTACTCAAATCCTATAGGCAATTCTTTCTTTATAAATATAATTATCTAGACCTGGACTCCGTAATTTAGTTTCTTACCCCTTCCTATTTATGGTAGTGGAAGCTTTGAGCAAAATCACAAGCTAAAGCTTAGTCAAGCTCTATTTGCACGTTTGAACCTTCCTACAATACATTTTTGAGGTTTCATTACACTGTAGCTCTGGTTTTTAGCATTTTAGTCATTAAGATGACCTCTGCTCTCTCCTTATAACTTGAATAATTAGCAAGAAAAGAAATGCTGAAAAAGTGTGCATCAAGCAGAGATGAGCTGACCTAGTTCTGAATTCTTGGATGCCTTCCAACATTTATGAAGAATTCATTTCTGTGTATTGCTGTACCTTTTCTCTCATGTTTTTATGTGTTGTTTCCCCTTTATAATATAAAGTGCTTAGAGCAGTCCCAACCCATTGTTTATGAAGAATATATTCAGCCTACTCAATTACTTGTGTCTATTTACCCAATTAATGATACCCACGTACCTGAATGACAGGCATTTAAAAACCTGTTCATTTCCAATACAGATTAATTAAGGAATTAAATTTGACCCAGTCACATACCCAATAGCCAGTCCAGCAGATAAAAAGGGCAGTTAGGGTGTTCAGCATCTAGAGAAAAATGATTGCCCGTATTGGCACACATGAAGGCTTATAGCCATTACTGACATAATACTCCACTAATAAGTTAGTGTGTGTCACTGACTGAGGCAATATCCTTCATGTGAGGTGTTCAATTGAAGTCCCTTCTTTGCTAACTGTCCAGGTGGAAGTTAAAGGTCCCAGGATAATTCAAAAAGAATGGAGGAATCACCTTGGTTTCCTAGGCAGCATTCCCTCTGCCCTACAACACATTTTAATATCCAGAAATATGTACTATTAATGAGTGCATATAGCAACCATGTTTGCCTACAGGGGAAATACTGTGCTATCAACATCTTATTCATTGTTATAAAGTACTTTGGGACACAGTGTTGAAAACTTCCAACCAGCTGTTATTTTTTTAAAGCATCTATGTCAACTACTATGACATTTTGCAAGAAGTATTTTGCATCTCTGGGCTCAGCAAAGTTCAAACAGCAATCAATAGGCTATAGACTTAAAAAGTTACCATTGCAACTAGTGCTACATAGAAACATTGGCTATAGTCCTAACAGAAAAGACAAGAACGAAATGGGCCTGGAGGTCCTTTCCATGACATTTTTGATGTTTCTTATGCTTTTCAAAAGTCTTTGCCAAAATATTATATTAACAAATGTAGCAGCTTTGAATGCCAGGACTATAATAACTAGAGCTGCATTTTTATAAGAACATAAGAACAGCCATACAGGGTCAGACCAATGGTCCATTTAGTCCAGTATCCTGTCTTCAAACAGTGGCCAATGCCAGGTGCCCCAGAGGGAATGAACAGAGCAGGTAATCATCAAGTGATCCATCCCCTGTGGCCCATTCCCAGTTTCTGACAATTGTGGAAATTGTGACAGATAGGGCAATTTCCAGGATAAACTTTATTGAATTAAGTTTATGTATCATTGTGGGCCATGGATTTCATGTAAGTCCATGCGGAAGGGAGACCATAGCCCTCCAGGTACTAAGAACAGTTGTGTGTGGGGGGGAGGGGGCGGGGGAGGTGATTAGGCAAATGTACTCAGGTTGTAACACCTTGTGATGGGGTATACAAACCCGCACTGGAGAAAAAAAGGATAAGGAGTTGCTCTGGGCCCAAGCAGCCTTGTCCCACTGCACCAGGAAAGCTTGCACAAGCTGGCATTTAAAAATGGGAAACAGAATAGCTCAGTGGCAGGGAGGCGGGGAAGTAGCTGACCTACCCTCTGAGTTCCTGGTGTAGGACTTAGCTGTCTACCATTGGGCCCGGGATCAGAGCCCAGTGGAGAGGTTGGGCCTGGGCTCATTTACCAACCTTTAAAGAGGGGACAATGACAGTGGGGAACCTAATTGATACAACGATCCTGACCCCAAGAAGCCCTGAAGCCCTGGCAGACTCGTGAAGACTTCCACATTATTGGACTCTTTATGTGTACCTAGGGTGACCAGATGTCCCATTTTTAAAGGGACAGTCCCGTTTTTGGGGACTTTTTCTTATATAGGCGCCTATTACCCCCCCACCCATTTTTTCCACAGTTGCTATCTGGTAACCCTATGTGTACCCCAGAAGGGGTGGACTTGAATGAGTGACCCAGTCAGAGGGCTGAGTCACTAAAAGGACAGACCACCACAAAGCAGAGCTATAGAGGGAAAGGGGAATGTCCAGGAGGAAGACAAACTGCCCGCTCTGGCCTGACTACTGGGTGGCACTGGCAGTGAGTGGTCCCCTTCACTTGCCTCCAGAAAGCTACCACCACCCAGAGAGAGGCTCGCATTTATAATTAAGTATGAATTATACAGATTTGTTTTCTCCTTAGGTGGTCCAATTAAAGGTGTAAAGCGAAACCTTGGAATGCATGGGAGGCTAATATAGAGCAGCACCTGACAAAAAGGAACAGACAATGGACTTGGAAGCATTTAATTTGCTATGGAATCACGATGTAATCCCCACCCAAAGGTGGGACAAAAAATATTAGGGTAAGGTTTGATTTATCAAAGATCAGCTCGTTTGGAAACTGAGGGCTTGTCTACACTACCGCGGTAGTTCGACGGCTGGCAATCGAACTTCCGGGTTCGATTTATCGCGTCTGGTGTGGACGCGATAATTCGAACCAGGAAGTGCTCGCCGTCGACTGCGGTACTCCACGTCAGCGACAGGAGTACCGCGGAGTCGACGGGGGAGCCTGCCTGCCGTGTGTGGACCGCGTCTGAACCGCGGTAAATTCGAACTAAGGTATGTCGACTTCAGCTACGTTATTCACGTAGCTGAAGTTGCGTACCTTAGATCGAATTGGGGTGTTAGTGTAGACCAGGCCTTAGATTAAAGCTCTTGATGTTCTCATACTATATTCATAGATCTTGTTATTCATACTGAATATTCCGAAATAAGGGCTAGTTTAAGTATAAAATAAAGCATGTGATGACTTAATTCTATTTCCACAATGTTTCCCTCTGACTTTTCCTAAAAATTACCACAGTCTAATGGCAGCTAATAACCATGTATTTATTTTATATTCTTACCTCCAGTATCGTTGCTTTGATCTTTCAGGGGGGCTGATTTTGAGGCAAGATTATTTCCTGCTTTTGTGCGCACCCAGAAAACGTGTTCAAATGATGAATCTGAATTCCAGTGACACATGTCAAGCTCGAAACTGCAAACATGCTGCTCTAAATGGGAAAGCAATCATTCAGTTACCTCTGAAGTCATTATTTATAAGATTATTTCCCTTTAGAAATTAATGTTCATTAAACTACTTGACAGCCCTTCTGCTTCTGGTTACCTCACAAGTAACCAGCTTACCAGTGGGTTTATCTGATATTCTAGGCTGCCATCTTTAGTGATACCACTTCAGAAAATCACTGCCTAATGATGGATAATTCTTCCAGAGTGAAGAATTACGTTATTTTATAATAAACGTAAAAAATTAGAACATGAACATTAGAAAATACAATATTTTGATTGACCTGATCTAATTTTTTTTCTGATTTTTTTTTGGTTTTCAACATTTTTTGAAGATTTAGACTTTTTGTTGGGACAGGAAAACCTTTCAAAATTTTAATTCTTGCCGGAGGGGAAAATCATTTTCCACCCAACCCTAGTTATTAAAGGCATTCTGTTGCAGAGGTTGAATTAGAGCCTGGAGTCTTCTGACTCCAGCCCTGTATATCTAAAATGCAGAGGTTCACTTGTACAACCCTTACATTTGGTAGTACCTCTTTATGTGAGTAGTTCCACTTAGTAGAATAATTGGACCTGTCCTGTAGTTTTGGGGGACATTACCACAACGTCCTAAAGTTCTCTCAAAACTCTCAACTGTGACTTATTTGCAAGTCTCCAGACAGAGAAAAAAATTAATCTAAAATCTTTTGGTAAAAATTAAATATTTCATAAAATTGCCCCAGCTTTGCAGGAATTTAGCAAACTTAAAAACATGCAACTTTGTCAAAACAAAAAACAGTCCCTTCCTCTCCCTCTTTGGGAACATTCATTTTCAGAAGTCCACTGTTTCCTTTTCTTGTGGCTAGATTAGAATGCAGATGCTTGAAAATGCATGTCAGTATCTATCTTTTTTTTCTGTAATAGGACCATAGACACTTGGATGTATATAGAAAACCTTTGAAATGCAAGCTCCACTAGATACGCTATTATAAGAGACTTTTTAAAACAACTCTGTAGCATTTACTATTTAACATTTAAAAGTCATTCTGTGCAGTTTACATGTGTTTATATAATAGCTGTAAATCTCTGGCTTTTTTGAGCTATGTAATTAAGCATCAAATTTAGTCAAATATCTTGCTTTATCTCTTAAAGGGCTTGCTTATGCTCATGCTTAACTTTACTACCATGAACTGATTAGGGCCTAATTTGCCATTTTTATTACACATAGAAAAGCTGAAATGACAGTATATAATTTAACTGTAAAGTACAAACTTCAAAGGATTTTAAATGTAGAGTGGTCACCCTCTTGATATCAAGTCAACCAAAGTTGACTTTCATGTAATATATTACTTCTACAATTTTGCTGAATGACAGATATGTACAAGCCTCAGAATAGGGAGGTACAGTTTGACGTTTCAGCAATCATTGCTTAATGATGACATCAGTGGGAATTTTTTTTTTTTTTTTACAAGAGAACTATAGGATCTAACCCTACTTAAATAAATCAGAGTTTAGAAATACTTTGGATTATCCAGTTCTAATAAAAGAATGAAGATTTTAACTGGGTTTTGAGATGTTTATATTTAAGTATATCTGGTCTAATACATTTTTCTACTAATGTCTTGGTCTGAATAGAAAATATTTTTGCTATGAAGTTGGATAAAACTCTCCATTCCTTTTAATTCCTGGATCTTTTTGTCTTCAGGAGGAGGGGGCTACATAAAAGTGGAAATCAGTGGGAGGTAGAGGAAAGGATTGCTGGGGGAGCGCTGAGTAGACAAGGCTGTAGCAGAAGGCACTTCCTTGTACAGTAGAGGAAGGAGGAGTGGCACAATAAGAGAGCAAAGGAGTTGAGGACAGAAGCAGGAGAGGTAGGTGTGTGTGTGGGGGGGGTTGGTGTGGGTGTGAGAGAGAGAGAGAGACTCTCTCTTTTTCAGCCCATTCAGAGCGATAACATGGATATATATTTATTAATTATTTATATCATGTTTATGTGCCCTGTTTTGTGGGGGGGGGGGGGGGGAAACCATGTCTGTTTTCAGTGGACAGGCAGAGTTTGGGCCAAAAAATATTCTTTAAAAAATGAACACACCCTAAATAAGCTAATTTATTCATTATCCCAAAAGCTTAGTTCTATATCAGTGAACACAAATGTAGCTCCATGTGCAGAATGGCTGGTACCTAGGGTATTGTGACAGGTAGGGTTTCTGGAGAAATGCAACTTTCACCACAAATTTCATGAAATCAAAACTAGTCTCCCTATAGAGCCCTCTTATGCAGCCATTTCCCAAAGACCAGCACAATAAGGAGTTTACATTCAGCTGGTCATTAATCTGATCTTCCATTTGAAACGTTCTGCAGCAAAACCTCTTTCCTGAAGCTGGAATTAAAACTCTTCTGGCTCTTTGCTTTTTGGCACCTGAGATGTCATCTCGGGAAGTTGACTTCTCACCTATCGTGTGCCTCTAAATTTGGATGTGACAAGAAATGTCTCCAGGTTGAGCATATTTGATGTGCTTTGTACTGCTGCAAGAGGTCAGTTGATACGTCATGTTTTGTATATATGTAAGATAAGTTTAACACTTATATTTAAAGATATATATTGATTTTTAAAGTCAGGCTTGACAAAGCCCTGGCTGGGATGATTTAGTTGGGGATTGGTCCTGCTTTGAGCAGGGGATTGGACTAGATGATCTCCTGAGGTCCCTTCCAACCCTGATCTTCTATGATTCACGTGGGGGGGATTTTTTTGCTTTAAAAGAGCCCTGCTTACAAATAAAGCCAGTAGATTTATATATATATATAGAGAGAGAGAGAGAGAGAGATACACATGCTATTTGAGAAATCAGTTAGTGAAGAAAGGACATACTGGCTCATTGGCCACAATGACAAATTATCATTTTTTTCTCTACATCTGTCCCATTATCCCATCTCAGCTGCAGTAATCCTCCAAGGAAGAGACAGAGAGAAAAATCACATTTCTGCATAGAGAGTTTCACGGACTCCCTGTTTCAGATTTGGTGTTCTAAAAAGCACACTGCAGAATAGTCGCAGTTCATATGGCAAATAGGTCCAAAGCCTGTAATTTGGTTCCCAGCACTCCTATGCAGCCCTGCTGGGTAACAGTTACAAGTGGGTACTGGCATGTAAATAAGTACACCTGGCATCCCACTTTGCTTCTACCTTTCCCAAATGCAGGACATCTGAGGCATGGAAATGCTTATAACACAGCAAGTTTCTTTACCTGAAATTTAATTTTCCTATTTAAATAGAGATGTGTCCTTTGAAATAAATATTAATCTAGCCCTGAATCATCAGGGTCCCAAAGATTTGTGTTTGACTCTCAAGATGAAGGTAACATCATCTACAGATGTTCAGCATTCTAAAATATTAATCAGATTGGATATCTACTTTAGATGTCTGTTCTCATTGCCTTCTCAGGGGAGTCTCCTATTTTGGACTCCAGTGCACAAAACTGTTTGCAAAAGCTAAATATATCGCAAACATAGAACATGGTAAAGTAAACTCAAAGAGCCTCAGATTCTCAGATGAGGCCAAGCAGCTTTCAGCACAACTCAGGAGTGGGAAGATGCAAAGCTGGTTTTAAGTCACCTTTGCACTCCTGCAATTTTGGATCATCAGTGTGCCAGTACAATCTCCTGCTGTAATTCAGACCAGCCAGTGGCCCCAAAAGGTTGTTATTATAGTCAGGGACCTCTGGAAGTGCAGACAAGCCCCAGTCATGTCCCTTTTCTCCTGGACAAACCCTGTGTACTGGCCGCAGAAAGGGGACTGGCATAGGAAACATTCCACTGGTTCTACACCACCAGAGAATGCCACTATGCTTGGATGATCTCCCCCATGGCTGGCTACACTGACTTAATAGCTGCTTAGAGGCAGCAGAGTAGCACAAAGTATCCGCAGTGGAGATGAGAATCAGGGCCTTAAAACCTAAAAAGGTTGTTTGTTTGAGGGTTTTTTAAAGGTCAGCTCCACAGCTTTCCCTCAGCTGGCTGAAAATAATGAATTCTCAGGCAAAGAATGGTAGATCTTTCCTGCCCATTGATGACTTTGTGGTGGTATTTCTGCAGAAAGCTCCTAAGGCATTTATAATATACAGTAACTCCCCACTTAACATCCTCTCGCTTAACGTTGTTTCGATCTTATGTCCCTGCTCAATTACAGAACATGCTCCATTTAAAGTTGTGCAATGCTTCGCTATAACATCCTTTGGCTGCCTGCTTTGTCCACAGCTGGCAGCCCCCCTATCAGCTCCCCTATGCCCCCCCACAGTGCCTCCCGCCCGCCAGCAGACCCCGCGGATCAGCGCCTTCCCCCTCCTCCTGCCCGCGGCAATCAGCTGGCTTGTGGTATTCAGGAGGTAGGGAGGAGGAGCGAGGACTCGGCGCGCAGGCTCCCCCTCCCTCCCCTGTCTCCCAAAAGTCTCAAACCAGCTGATTGCCGCGGGCAGGAGGCAGGGGAGGGAGGGGGGAGCCTGTGTGCCGAGTCCTCGCTCCTCCCTCCTCCCTCCTGAACGTCGCAAGCCAGTTGATTGCCATGGGCAGGACGGTGGGGGGAGGAGCGAGGATGCGGCGCACCTCCCCCCTCCCTCCCCTGCCTCCTGTCCGTGGCAATCAGCTGGCTTGCAGTGTTCAGGAGGCAGGGGAGGGAGGGGGAGCCTGTGCGCCCTGTCCTCGCTCTTCCTCCCTCCCTCCTGCCTCCAGAACACTGCAAGCCAGCTGATTGCCGCGGGCAGGAGGCAGGGGAGGGAGGGGGAGGAATGAGGATGCTGCGTGTGGAGTAAAGGGGGTGGGGAGGGGAAGAAGAGGCGGGTTAAGGGTGGGGGCTTGGGGGAAGGGGTGGCATGGGTGGGCTGAGGGTTGAGCCCCCCGCCCCTGGTGCTTGCATAGTAGGGGAAGCTACCGCTGCTGCTGCACAATGTGCTTCTCCTAGCCCACAGCACTTTCAGCCTCCTTGCCTGCCTCATTGTCTCCAGTGCCAGTGGGCTGTGCCTGTGTGGGGTAAGGCGGGGGCACCTCCCAACTACAGTACTGTACTGTATGGTATGGCAAAAAAAATTCCCTGGAACCTAACCCCTCCCCCTCCATTTACATTCATTCTTATGGGGAAATTGGATTTGCTTAACATAGTTTCACTTAAAGTTGCATTTTTCAGGATCATAACTCCAACGTTAAGTGAGGAGTTACTGTACCAGATTTGTTAAAGTATTTATTGTCCTTCTTTGTGGTTGTGTTTATGAAATCTGATAGCAGATAGTTTAGAGGAATAAAATATAAGCCACATGAAAATGATTAAGTAGTTGAGAAATCTTTTGAGTACAAAAGGGCCTCTTTGCGTTTTCTCTTTTGGCTTAAGGGGGAAAGAATTATTTGTGTGGTTAAAGAAAAGATTCTTACCGAATGCTGGAAAACATCCTCCACTGAAAGAAATATCATCAATAGCAATGGTGTCATCTGGTCCCCAGGCCTCAAGTGTCCCTTGAATGACAACCTGCATGATGTTTAGCAGCAAGTTAGGAGGAAATGCCATTCATGTTGTCTCTCATACATAAAAAGGAAAAAAAGTATACCTGTATGCTGCAGACTCCCAGAAGTTGTTATATTACATGAACTAGCAGTCTAATCACACAAGAATATATACTGTAGAGTTTCTACTGGAAATAAAGAAGTCCAGGTCATGCAAAAAAAATTATCTCAGTAGATTAACGGCCTGGCTTTTGATCACTAGTGTGGTTTTTTTGTCACCATGGATATACACCCTAATCACGCTTTCAGGTCAAAAGCTAAGTTGACTTTAACCAAAAGGCTCATGCAGACCACAATAGAATGTATTCCTTTCAGAGGAACTAAGTCAATTAGGATCATAGTGGTTAAGAGATAGAAAAAAAATTATTGGATTATCAAGTCCCTCCTTCCACCAGGGCCTGGGGATAGCAAGTGTGCTTTTTTTCATTTTCGGAGTCTACCAGGCAGAGATCTGGAGCAGAGGCAGGACAGCTAATGCCATTCCAGCCTGTAAACTTTTATCAATGGAAAGTCCAAGACTGCATCTTGGGAAACAAAAATGATCAGCTGTTAATCACTAACGCCTCAAAGGAGATATTCTCCCATCAATTATACTGTACCATTGGAGCTATGCACAGATGTCTTGCATTTCTGTTAGTGATTTAGGGCTAGATTGTAACCCAAACTAAATGGCCACACAGGAACATAAGGAGAATAAGACCACACAAGCACACTTCCCCTGTACAGCCTTCCCTCCTCAGGCCAAGTGCGGAGAGTAGGGCTGCATATCCAGTATTCCTTCACCAGAGAGGTCAGCAAGTAGTGACTGGAGAGAGGTAAGAAATGGGTAGAACCTAGGCTTTGCTGCCTCCCCACCATGAGGGGGCCACTGCAGCTGAACTGAGATTATGGTGTAGGAAGAGAAGTAATTTGCTATGGACAAGAGGCAGCAGAAGATTATTTTTCCCCCTGGGAACAAGGTGGGAGTGGCGATAAGGAAGGAATTCCAACACTGAATCACAGTTCCCTGGGCTCCTTATGGTGTGGTGATGCTACACCCTGCCCTTACAGAGGACGATATCTAAAAGCACAATCTAGTCTTACTATTAAGTGTCAAGTTGATAATACTAAATCAGCAAAACTTCCAATATTAGTTTTAAGTTCAGGGACAATTTTATGGACTGCTTGTACAACTTAATAGTAAAGACATTAGGCGTGCAAACCCATATTTTGAAATTTATTTATGCCATAGGTTATTATATTCTCTACTAGTGAGTGCTACCTATATTCCAAAACATTTTGGGGTAATACCACATAGGATTTCACTGCGGAACCATGGACATGATCATTATATTTATTCCTTGCCTTGCTCCAGGGAAACAACGTTAACTACTGTAACAACAAAACTGTAATCACAGTAAGTTTTTAGGCTCCGTCTGAACTACATAGGCAATGGTATAGCATGTGTACCCATATGAGCTGTGTACAACAAAGCTAAATATATACACATTCAAAGCTGAATATACAGCTGAATTTGCCAAAACTACATTGAGTTAGCCATGTCGTGTATATCCCAGCCTCTGCAGTATTGTGGAGAGTAGGATAACTAGTGACCATTTCCCCTTATTAATACTACAGAAAAGCCACAGCTAGCCAAACATGGAGCAGCTGCCTCTTCAGAAATAACAGTGTTGTTCAGAAACAGTGCCATTTTGTGAGTTTATATTAGAGCTGGCCAAAAAGCATTCAGATGGAACAGTTTTTTGTTAGAACATATAGTTTCATCGAAATCTATATATTTCTCAAGAATACATCTATCTTGACAAAATGTTCTATGGGAGAATACCTTTCTCACTTCAGTAATGTGAAGATGTTTCATTTTGATAATATCAAAACATTGTTTCATTTTGTTTTGAATTATATTGAAATAGTTTTAATATTCTATATAATTGATAACTGACAAATTTTATTGAAATATTCTGATATATTGTATATATTTTATACTATATTATGTTTCAACATTATCAAAAGGCGACATATGTTTTAATTGCAATGTTTCATTCTGATTTGTAGTGAAAACAAACTTTGAAATGTGAGATGACCATTTATGACCATCTCTCATGTATACATATATTGTACAAAGAAGTTTAAATATATCAAGTAAAGCTTGGGTGAGTTATGATGTAGTAATTATAATCATATATTCAATTTTTCCCTTTTTATTTATTATAAGGTTTTAATTATGCCTCCAAAAATGTTATTCAGCACAGGATCATAACTTGGAAAATAAAACAAATATATGAGTTTAAAAATGTACAAATAAAATAATAAAACAAATGTTTGACCATTTCACAATTAGTATTGTGTATGTGGTTGAATTTGACTGGCTATTCAATAGGCTCACTTTTTTAACAATTTAAACCACTGTCCTGATTTTACCCCCCTGACTAATCTAAGTAGAGATGGGATGAACTTGCATGATTTCGGTAATACTAGAGCAGTAATGTCTTGTTTTGGTTTTGCAAAATCAGAGGCGGTTTCAGAACCATATTCTACAGAATTACCATATGGGGTATTATTAAATGTTGTACTACAGCTATCCCCCTTAAACACCCACACACAGAATTTTTGTGACTAATAATAATAATAATAATAGATGATGATATCGGGCATAAAAACAGTGTGCACGCTTACACATATAAAGGGGGATACCCTTAAATGCACCTATTGAGTGCTTTCTAAAGTAGTTGACTCTGATGACACCTGATGACCAACACCTTTTGGGCCATATCCACTAGTACGCTCTGACTGCTTTGCATCAGCAAGGCTAAGCAGCCATAAAGCTGTTTTAACTGTTTGGCCAAGCTGGGTTTACAGCTGCTTTGTGTCATTGAAGTTGCACAAAATACCTGATGGAAATTGGTTAATCTGGTCCTTATTTTTTAAAGACATGACAGATGCCTTCTCTGGGAAAATAGATAACCTCAGTGGACTCTGATATAGTGAACGCTGCATAATTTCATAGGAAATAGAAGCTCTAGGTATTAAACTTATGCATATGAAAGAAAGCTATTGCGGAAAGAAAAAAAACCTTGCTGAGAGTTCAGCTGTCTAAGGAGGTGGTCTGTATACATCCTCAGTAGTTTGATTGCAAGCTTCCTCTCACAGAATCTTTTGAAGAATACTTTTAACACAGTGCAAGATGTTACAAGAGCATCACCTCCCTGCAGCCTAGCAAGGCAAAAAAGGATAGCAATAGATCACCAATGGTTATTGTACATCACCGTACTTTAATAGCAGCCTTGATGATTGGTATAACCAAAGGTTCCCATGGGGTCATATATGTCCCAAATTCCTATGAATCTTTTAAAGATGTACTGTTTTCATCCAGCGAACGGATTATTTTAGATTGATATATATTACTCTGATATGTTTGAACACTTTGTTGCCTTATAAAGCACATGAATGGAAAAACAAGATTGCAGCAATGTTTATAAATAGCAGCATGGGCAAATTTTTAAGTTTGTGGAATTCTGTACATGTTCAGTCCCTCCATATTTCCTTTCCTTTACCTTCTTGCCACTGTTCTGACACAAAACGTTTCTGCTATTTGCCCAATATTTGATACTGGCTTGGGACATGCAGGGAGCTTGTCTTATCTCCTAATATAAAACTGAGGAAAGGAAAAAAAAACCCACTACTGAAAATGTACTAGTGAAGGGCTTGATACAATTGACCTCAGAGGGAGTAGGTTCAATGCCAATTTTAAACCTTTCTATTTCAAGAGTGCCATTTCTGTATTTTTCTCTCTCAAACTTGGCTTGAGTTTCCTACTCCACGAGGAAAATGATGGTGTTAAATGCTTACTTCACACCTTCCACTACTGTTTTGTTTTTTAAAAATGTTATAAAGGTCTTCTTCACCAATGGCAAAAACTGTATCCCCCTCTCAATTCATTTAACTCAATAACAACTGAACTAATTCCCCTCAAAATCTGAACAACAAATATTTACCTGTTCCATGAGACCAAGCTTGGAAACATTCAGCCCAAAAGGCTGAGGAAATCATAATAATGGAAATGCATTGTTAAGCTTAGCAATAGCATTTGCTGCCATAAACATAACAATGAATGCATCAAAATACCTTCCTACCAGACCTATTATTGCTAGCTAACCGTGTAGTGCCAGTGGCCACCAGCATGTAGGCATTACAATGGCTAAGATTATGATACTTTCTCTTTTTCTGTGATTGGCAGCTCTGGTTTGTATGGCTGAATCCTCTGCACATCCTGAATCCCAATGAAGACAACAGTCTTCCCAGGCAGGCAGATCCCTTTCTGTGCAATCAGACTGCAGGAATGGGGCCTAACACACCAAATACAGAAGCAATGACAAGTACAGGACAGAATCACAGGGACAGGACCCACCATCCCAATCACATTTATTCAAAGCAATGCTCTGCCTCACAAAAAATGGATCTTATTTAATATGTAAGACTTGCAGCACAGAGTAACTACGGGGGGAAAACACTGAAGAAAGAGCTCTACTAGCCAAAGGATGTGCTGAGTTCATTCTGTGATGGGCAGCTTAAAGAGCTGCAGATCTCAATACATCAGAACTACCTGTAGTTGGCAATAAGCCAATATGGCTATTGACTAACTAGTTCACAATGGTTATTTTTCTACCTTTCATTTTTGCATGAGTTCGGTGCTCCTGAAAAATGCCATCTTGACAGCACTGTAGACTGAGGTCCTCTAAGTATCCACAGGCCAGGTTCAGAAAGACATTTGCACTGCAAGATTACACACAAGCTTCTGACAATATGCTTCCCCTTGGAACCGGAGAGATCACTTCCAAGGATGAGAGGGTACTTCAGTGCCGGAGCTAGCCCATTGGGGACCCTTAGCAAAAATATCCCCCTGCACACACACACACACACACACACACAGGCAAGTTCTTATAATAAAAAGCAAATGGGGGGGAGGGGCTTAAGTTGCTTGGGGCCCTAAGCAATTTCTTAGTCTGCTTATGCCTACTGCTGGCTCTGCTGACAGTTCAGTCTCAGTGCCTGTTCAGATCCTTGGCCACTCTGATAAGAGTCCTAAAAGCAGTGACATTTCAACAGTAGTAATGATCTGTTTTATAAGGTGCACACCTGTCCTCTAGGAATTGGACTGTGACCATCAACTTATTTCACAATGACCCCCCAAACAGCTATCAGAAGGTTAAAATGTTTGCTAACCAGTAAACTGGTTACAATTACAGGGAAAAGATTCCATATTCTATTAACAATTCCCCTCACCCCTTGTTTTTTGTAAGTCTCAAAAAAGAAGGATGGGAGATAGAAAAGTGAATGTAAGGCTAGATCTTGATCTCCAGCATGAAGTTGCACACCATTGGGTATCCACTAAGGTCAGATAAGCCCAAAAACTCAGAGCTGCACTGCACATGTGCAGTGGGGAGTTGTGCCTTAGTAAGTTGGTGAGGCACACACTGCTTTGAAAATGTAGGTCACAGTGGACAGTAGCCACTTTTACAAGTCAAGCAGTGATGAGTGTTCTTCAGCCTAAGGGCAAAGACCTCATGAAATGATTTGATATTATGACTGCCGTGGACAGTAACAGTATATTGCATAATCAGGCATTTGGTCAGAAGTATTACAAGGCAGAGACTTACTGAGCTCTTATAACCAGATGGTCCTTACCTGAAGGGTAAGCATAATAGCCAGTTCCTCATAATAAACAAGCTAGGAGTAAAATTACCCTGATATTTTTTAAAACAGTATTCTGCAGAACAGTGAGAATATATTATGTATGATGTCATTTTGTAACTATGATGCTATCCCTTACTGTGCTAGTGGTCTGCTTAGATTAATGTATAAAAATGTTGAAACTAATTGAGCAAACTTTTAGAAGGTTACAGCAGTTGAGAACTAGTGAAATGACTGCATAAATATATCGTGTAACAAAGTCTCAAAGTAGACTAAATATTGTAAATATTTAATCACCTAGCAAATCTCTATAGAAATTCACAGCCAACAAATATACAAAAAAAGCTCCAGTCCAGCAAAACAGTTAACTTCTTTGGGGCCTGAAAGAATACAATAACTAGTCTCAGCTCCAAAACCAGTAATTTTTATGGATAGGTTCCAATTTATGATGTTATAAGAGTGATTGTTCTGTATAAAATCTGAGCACATTTTAAGTGGGTTTCAGTTTTTAGCTTCCACGTCACCAGAAGATGAGCTCAAGCAATAATAAATGATACTGGTCTCGAATAGATAAAATGTGTATCTATCCCTTCTTTGATTCACATTATTTTCCAGATCTAAGATAATTTTTATATTTATCTTCACACAATATGCTAATCTCCCCATTATAAATATACATTGTAGCAATTTACAAACCTCAAATTTTTCAGTGCTATTGATTGTGATCACATTTGTTCTCCATTGGTTTTGTAGCCCTCCTGCTTCTTGCCAGATGTTTTTAAAAGTACCATCAGAATGTGTTTGGAGTCCCACCATCAATATTCCCCTCATTTGACCAATCCAATAGTAAAATGCAATCTAGGACAAAGAAAAGTTCTGATTATTCCAGCAAATCACAATGACAAGAATATAATGAAAGGAAGGTGCAGTCCAAATACCTGGCAAATGTGTTTGCTATCAGTAGGGAGGAAAACTCTGCTCCTTAAAGTTGTAGGAGATGAGGCCACTTCAGAGGACAATAAGAGGAAATAGGCTATTTAAAAAAAGAACAAGAATAAAATAGAAGGTTTAAGAACCAGTGGTATTCTAACAAATCTATAGAAAATACCAGAAAAATTACATTATTTGGTAATTAGAAAAGGTAACTGAATGGAAATAACAAATAAATAATTACATTGAGGAGATTTATCTATAAATAGATATAAATAGGACTTTTTCCAGGATATTTTTTGTGGTATACATTACAAACTATGTTAAAAGAATAAGCAGATATTCAATATTTTGTATTCTACTCACAGTTCAATGTGAGGACCCAGGTCTTATTGACTGTACACTATGCAAACCCTGCTCTGAAGACAGAATTAATAACTCCCTCATGGGCTTTTCTATGATGCGTATTACAATAGTATCTGAGTGCTTCATAAACATTAATAAATTTATTTTTACTACACCCCTTTGAGCACAATCCATCCTGTCCATAGAATGAGGTAGCAGTTCTGTGTAAAAAATAGTTGTAATTAAAGACTGTATCATTAGGCATATGCACAACAGGGCCAAATTAAGGTTGCACAGATAAAAGTTAAGAAATGTTGGAATTAAGGTTGAGTGCATGACTTATTTTGCAACTGTAATAATATTCTTTTAATGTGGTTTATTTTTGTGCACAATTTTCTAGGTTTGTAAAAATGCAAACTGAAAAAACAAAAATTCCATGGACCACTTTGTCAGTAGGTTTTACAAATATTTGTTGACAACAGAGGAAGAGAGAAACTCAGGGATCTCGGGTTCCTTTCCGGGCTCTAGAAGGGATGGAACTCTAGCGAGTACAGACTCTTCTGACCATCCCCTCTAGCCATCTCCCCAAGCATGACCCTCTTCTATCTCTCCCCATATCAGTCTTGTCTCTTCCCCTGGCTCCTCATCACAGTTCCATTCTTCTCATCTAGCCTGTCCCAGGCTCTTTGCCCAGCCAGTCCATTTAATAATAATAATTTAATTAATGGAGATATCCTATCTCCTAGAACTGGAAGGGACCTTGAAAAAGTTATTGTGTCCAGCCCCCTGCCTTCACTAGCAGGACCAAGTACTGATTTTGCACCATCCCTAAGTGGCCCCCTTGAGGACTGAACTCATAACCCTGGGTTTAGCAGGCCAATGCTCAAACCACTGAGCTATCCCTCCCCTTCCATGTTCTTCCCCTCACGGCTCCTCATGTGATCTCTCTCCCCTCCCCTTGTCTCCAGTCACCCAACCCCAGACTCCTCACATCCCTCATCCCCACTGGTTCCTAGTTCCAGTTTCCGTTCAGCGGCTTCTCATCTAATGTTAGTGTCTCCCCACCCTTCCCTCCCCCCCTCCCCCAGCTCCTTGTTCCCGTCTCTTTACCCAATCAGTCCCAGCTTTTTCCCCACATCCTGGCTTTTCATTAGATCTGTCTTCCCTCCCCCACATCTCCTTCCTCCCACCCCACTGATTCCCAGATCAGCCTCCTTACCCGGCCAGTCCTAATCTCCCCTCCCTAGCTCCCAGTACCCCCCTCCCAATTCCCAGTCCTAATGTCCCCCCCACCCCAGTTCCCATTTTCCCTCTCCTCCTTACCAACAGCCTCCTGTTAGTGGCCATGTCATCCCCTCTACCCCCCCCCCTTCAGGCTCTTGTCCCCTTTGCATTTGAATCAAGTAGCTTCCTCTGCCATACTTTCTGAGCCCAACAGGGAGCATCCATTGGCAGAACAGGAGACATCATCTTCATGCTCTGTTCCCTGCCTGGCTCAGCCTGCAGCAGCACAGAGATGCAACTTTAGAGAAAGTTCTGCTCAGTCCCAGGCTGATAGGCACATGCCCACTGCAGATGGAATTTTTGGACAATTTAGCTATAAAGATCACAAGATCTTGTGTGAGCATGTGTAAACTGTGATTTTTCAGTGGCTCAGAAACTTGGCCAAATTTGGGCAGATTTTCATGGGAATGTCAAAAAGTACATCCCTGGCACAAAGGCCACCCCCCTGCCAAGTTTGAAGACCCTGCTCCAAAGCATGGGGAAGTTGAGCAACTCAAAGAAAAGATCACCAGAATTTTTTTAACATGAGCAAAACTGCCTATTTTCCCCTAGCCTTGTTCTCAGAAATAACTGAGTCAGTTTGGTTAAATTTTTCCATAAATGTTTAACCTGAGGCAGACGCCCAGCATGATAAGATTCAACCCAAACAGTTGACGTTTGGCAAAGTTATAAGCAACTGAAAACAGGGTCTTATAATGGGAAGTGTCAGGTAACCTTAATAGGAAGTGTAACCAGGCCTCTAGTAACAGAGCCTACAATCAATGAGAGTCCTTCCATTCATTTCAATGGGCTTTGGAGCAAGCCTGAAGTGAGATTCACCCAGCACTTGTATAACTCTCAAATAACTGTTTCCTTAACTGTGTTCCAGAAAACCGCTTCCAACCTCAGTAATAAAATGGGTCACTTTTTTAAATGTGGGATGTTAGCTTAAGGACACACAGAATGCAGATTTTGTGGAAACCACTATATATATAAATATATATATGCCATCGTCTTCCATAGGTTTTAATTTTTCTCTTTTAAAGCGAAGTAAGTAGAGAAAGTAAGGCTGACACTTTTGAAGCCTCAGACTCTAGTAATCACAATGTTCTTATCGGTTTAATTAAAAACAATTTTAAAACAATAAAAAAAACTAAATTTTCTTCTTTTTCCTTTCATACCATTCATTTGGCAGGTCTTTTAAGCTACATATATTTTGATATGAACAGATTATAATTTTTTTAGAATGATCCATATCTTGCTTATAGTTACTGTGCACTGAGCTTTTGCTGACTTCATACCTTGATACAGCACACCTCTTAATATCCCAATTGATTTTCAAAATAGGCTTCCAAAACATCTCTCATATAAACAGATTGATTACTTGATTAATAAGTATAAAATTCCAGGTGACAGCCAAGATTAACTCAGAAAAAGATAATTAATCAAAAATTGTAAGTCATGATTATTGAATGGATTTCCTATTTCACGAATGAGGGGAATTGCCTGTAGGCTGCACAGCTTAGATTTATTGATACAATTCAAGATCATTAAGGAAATGGTGGTCAGGAATATGCTTAAAATATATATATATCTCAAGAGGATGCTCTGTGTTTGTGCTCCAGTGCAACCTTTGCTAAAATGGTAGTTTAATATGGTCCCAACTGGAACTATACAGGCACTGGCCTTATTGGAGGCAGTGTGGAGGTGCATCATCCTGTTGGTGCTCCCAAAGTAATTGGCCTCATCACAAATACAATATTTTCAGAAGCACAAGATCCATTGAAAGGTGACAACATTTGCTTCTCCCAATGCAGAGCCAGCTCTACTGGCTGGTGCAGGGCAGTGACCCTGCTTTTGATCCATCCTTGATATCCCAAAGCAGGTGGTGTATCAAGTGCAGCAGGAGGAGCTAGATTCATGGAGTTCTGTGGATCGGGGTCTGTGGACCACAGGTTGATCGGGATATAGATCAAAAAATGCTTACTAGGAGCCACCCAGTACCCAGAACAGTAATATGAATATCTGAAGAATAGGCCCACACTTTCAGAAAATGCTTGCAATTGTGGTTATTGCACACCAAGTGACTAATTATATAACTAATTGCTCATTTGGAAGGGCCAAATAGGCATACACTTTTGCCCACGATAGACCTAATATTTATGAAACAATGTGATTATAAACAGCTAACTAAACATCTCTGGACACAAAAGATTCTACCTCACACAACATAATTGCAAGCCTGTTGTTCAGTGCAATTCATCCACCATGACATGAGTATTTTAAGTTGGTGAAATAAAACAGGTGGGAGTTCATAAAGACATAGTTATTCCTTTTTTAAAATATAGGGGACCCTTACCAGTTTTATTCCCATTGTGGTCAGAATGTGGAGATCCCATGTTGCTCAGGCCATTTCTCCTAGTCCATCCAGTCTGTAAGTCCCCATCATGCATCATATTGCAAAGGTCAGTTTCAAAGTCACATGTTTCATAGGAGGAACCTAATCAAAGAGGCCTGTTTTCAGAAACTGTATGCAGTAAAGGTTTGACTCATTAAGCAAATATATAATGCAACCATACCCAGAGAAATAGATACAAATGAAATTATAAATTGTTAGTTAGTACTAAGGCTATGATTTAGTCACGGAGGTCATGGCAGTCACTGATTCCATGACTTTACCAGACCTTCATGAATTCTTCAGCTTCACCTGTCAGCAGCTGAAACCAGGGTTGGAGCTGAAGCTTCAGCTGGGGCTGCCCTGCAGCTGTGGCTGCAGCCGGGCCCCGAGCCCCTGCCCCACAGCGGGGGCTGCAGCCGGGGCAGTGTGCTTTTGCCCCACAGCTTATACGATTATTTTTAGTAAAAACTCATTTATTGCCCATGACCTGTCCATGACTTTTACTAAAAATAACCATGACAAAATCTTAGTCTTAGTTATTACTTATAAAGCACCCAGAAATAGCCTAAATGACTAAAAAGACTTTCTAAATTGTAGACCAGACACAATGAGTAATAGCAATAAACAATGCAGTGGGAATAACAAGGAGGGGAGGATGATGGTTGCAAAAAAAGTCAATGTCTATCTCCTGGACCATCTCATGTCCTGTTTTACTACTGCAGATATAATACAGGCCCTTTTCCCACCACATATAAAGTCCCATATATATGCATTTTCACCATCTCTACAAATGTACAGAAAACTGTGGAGGCTAGCAAAACACTTTGTATGCATAAAAATTGTTCTTAAGAGATACTGCAAACATCATCAAGTTACCATTTACTTCAAATGCTTCAATACACACTATTATTCATGTCAGCACTGGGCTTTCTCATGCAGTAATGAAGATTAAACACTAGGAAATAACCATTTAACGCAAATATTTTTATTGCCGCTGTCTTTCATGTCACTGTATTGAACCCTGGATTTTTAGCAACATAATTATAACATTTATTAGGAAAGTATGAACCCAGTCCCAGAAATCTCCAAGGGCCTAATCCTGAAAGTTACTGAATGCTTACTCAGGGGGTGTCATCTCATCAATGGATGGATAAGGAACTCAGCACTTTCCAGGGGACATTCAGCACCTTTCATGAATGGGCACTAAATTAGACTAATGCTCACTTCGCTAGTTGGGGTGCCAGTTTGACGGGGCCATGAGCCCCAGAAACACCCGCAGGGGCGGGGGAAGATCTCGACCAGGAGCAGGTAGGACAGTGCTCCATGCAGTCCCCCTGCTTCCCCCTCCTATTCTCTTTCACCGTGTGTTCAGGAGGAAGGGGCTGTTTCTTTCTCTTTTCCCCCTTCCTCCCGCCCAGCATGGGGAACAGGAGAGACATTGTATACTTCTTTCAGACACTGGAGCGTGCCCCATCCATCACTGCTGCCATTCTGCAGTGGGGTATTGGCAGGGTTTGGTGATTAGCTGCATAATGAGAGAAGCAGAGCAGCAACTCTGGGGTCACTGCCAGAGCAGAAGATATGTACCTGGCAGCTTAGGGGAACCCGAGAGCAAGCCGATTCCTCTAAACAGCCCCAGCAGTGCCCTCTCAGAAGTTTTGAGGATAGTGACTGCCAAGGCTAGCCCTGGAGCTCTAACTCGTATTACGGCTACCAAAGAACTTCTAGCTTCCGGACCTAGTCACTGTAAATTGGGATCAGACGCTCCAGAGGATGCAGAGAGGGGAACAAGAGCAGCCACTGAAAGGAGGAACCCGGGCCCCAGGGAGAAACAGCCTGCTGAATGCCCTGCTTTGGTGGGGGCTTCTGAGGCTGCCTTACACTCTGCTTCAGCTGGTGAGGCTACAGGGGAGGAGGGAGGTGGAGGCACTTCTAGCCCCTCTGCAGTGGGGGATCCCCATTTGGTGGTAATGCCTCTGGGAATTATGGATGGTATTCCCTCCTTATGGACAGTTTGGAATACAGGGGCCATTGGTGAGATGTTACTGACGGGCCTCGTACCCACTGCTGGAGTGGCTGGGGCTCTCTCTGGCACAATAGGGGAGCCCACCCCAGGTTTAGAAGGGGAAAGTCCTGTTCTCCACCCCTCCCCGCTTCAGTACCAACAGGATTCCCAACTGCTATTGATCCTGCTGTCTCCATGGTATGCTGTCCCTCCTTCAATCCTGCATTGAACATAAGGATGTGTGAAGAAGGAATTCTGATAGCAAAAAAATGGTATTAAGTCAGACTTCAGACTGCTGCCTGTACACCCTTCTGACTTAGTTTGTTAGGGTTTCAATTCAAGGGACAATTTTACTTGAACAAAATTATACCAATGGGATGCTCCGCCTCCTGCACAGCCTTTGAAAAGCTTAGTTCTGCATTAGAATCAGGGAATCCAGACTTAGAGAAGTCACCCATTATCTTGGTGATTTTCTTTTTGTAGGAAGAACAGAAACAGACACTGTCTCAGAGCCTGGGAGTACCATTAGCAAGGAAAAACATGAGCGGTCCTGATACCCATTTGGAATTGGATACTGCAGCAAGTATTTCTCATCACCCTTTTGAAAAATTGGCAGAATTCTGAGAATTATTATCCATCATTCTGGCAACCAAGAAAGCATGCCTCTGACAGCTGCAGGTTATCACTGGCCATCTAAATTTTGCATGCAGGGTTATGGCTCCTGGAAGTAATTTAAATATACACTAGCTGCAGCCACAATTGGTATTACCAGGCCTCATCACTATATTTGATTGACTAAGGAAATGAGAGAGGACCTAAAGTTTTGGGATATGTTTTTGTCAGAATACAATGGGGTATCATTTTGGCATGCAGAGTGATCGCTGGATGTGGACTTGCAGGTCCACTTAGACACTGCTGGTGGTATGGGCTTCCAAGTGTACGTCTGTCATTATGTTGGTCTCCTATAGTACCCCCTTGGGGTGTGACGGGGCCCTGTACTCCCCAACCTGCCGTCCTCAGAGTCAGGATGATCCAGTTGTGGGAGACTCAGCCGTCTGGCTGAGTCCTGTGGAAGCCTACCCCTTCTGGGATATCAGAGGACCACAAAAAGGAAAAAAGAAAACCAACAAACTGACAAGCACCCTCATCAGGCTTCCCTTCCAAGGGGCCTCTCACAGGCTGTAGTCTAGCTCAATGGCGAAAGGTGAACCACTAACAATAGTACCAAAGTAATTGTTCAGAGTCTGGCCAACCTTCCCTTCAGATTGGTTGTGGTTGTGTGAACAATCCCTATTCTCAGCCACAGTATCCTCCAAGAGCTAAAGATGTGGAAGTGTGTGGTCCACTCAGGGCTGCTGCTAAGTCAGCTGAGCTTCCCCCGGCCCTGCCATATCTTGTAGGTGTGGTGAGGCAGGGCTGCTTGAGCTTCCAGCGGTTCATTAACCCTCACCTAACCAGTGCAGGGTTTGTATACCCCGTCACAACTTCCAAGGGAAATGGTGTGCTCAGAGGTGGCTGGATCATCCAGGGAATCACCAAAGACATCATATTTCTGGGGTTTTTCTCTATCCTGGTGTCCATCTTTATTTGCACAACAGATTCCAGGATAAATGAGTTCATTTCCAGTGTGAAAACACAGATTCCAAGACCAGAAAGGACCATTATGATCATCTAGCCTGACCTGTCCTAGGTGTTAATAATGGCATGATCGATGCTCTGTCTCACTTTCAGATTTTGGGAATTAGCAACACAGGCTGAAAGGACACAATAGCGATGCTTCATACCATGTGCAACCTAGATTACAGATTGCATTCAGACTAGCGTGACACTCCGTTGCCACACGGACATTCCAAATTTACAAAGCAGGATTTTCAGAGTTTATGGATTTCAAGGCGCGCCAGGTCTACCTCACGTATCGCCCATCCCAGAACTGCAAGTAATTCAGTTTGTGGTAGAGTTAATTCATCGAGGCCTGGCTTCATCTACAATTGCAGGTCAAGAGTAAAGGGGTAAAGGAAGTCCCCAATCTTTGCACTGAGTGTGTAGTTTGCAGATTACTAGAAAATTGGCCATGTTCAAGGGGACCATGGGCAGACTGCAGAAAACCAATCATTATTCAGATAAAAAGAGATTTAGTCCTTACATTCCCCAAGTTTGCAATAGCGTCAGTAAAGCAGTACAATTTACAGCAGTCTTCCTGGTGGTCTTTTTGAGGGCTTTCAGCGTGGAGGAAATAGTTTCTGGTTCAAAGAGCAATTAATCTAACAAAGTGTTGCCACAGGAAACTTGCAATGGGATCAAGGAAAAGTCATCTTGACATTGTCAGTTAAAAGCAGATCAGATTTGTCATGGTACCAAAATTGTGCTGAATGAGAGTGGTGAAAAGGTTACTTGCCCCATGAAGCTATTAAAAGCAGTCATCCCTTCGGCTTCAGAGCCATTGTTTGTCCATCTTCACTCATTGATATATTTGCTTTCCATAACCAACTCTCTGCATAACTGTTCATGTACCCAAATATTTGGATGCCAATATCTAAACTGTATCATTAAATTTATTAACCTTATTTAGGTTATTGTTGATTATGTCCTCTATGTATTGTATGACTTTTCAACCAACCTTTGTACTTTTGGATAATTTAAGTACTATACCTAGATGTACAGACACTCTTTTCTTATCCTATGTATTATATAATTTTAACATTAGCTTTAATAAAAAAAAAATTATTGGGCGTATAAAGAGGCATCTCGCAAAAATCTGGCTCACAGCTAGATGTCCCCATTTTGGTTGCCTGCCTGAGGTATCAGGGAAGGTTGTGGGATCAGCTAGTGTCCCTCATCCACTCTATGGCAGGCTGTTTCCATTCCCAACTGGTGATCATTATTCACTTGGGGGAGAATTATTTAGGCACAGCAAAAGGGCTTAGTTTGATCATTAGAATAAAGAGGGATTTCAGCCACATTTCATCCCTTTCCCTCAAATAGTCTTGATCTGCTCACACCAAGACAAGTTTGGGGAGGAGTCGCCAGACCTGCCAAGATTGACCAGGCCAAGAAAGAAGTGAACTGAGAAACTGGTAAGTATATAAAAGTGACAAGGGGGTATAGTGATTTCCCATAAGGGAATTAAATTTAACAGCCCCTCAGAACTGTTTAGAGAGGATGGAGTATATCTATCCAACACAGAGTAGGATATTTTCTTGGAGCACCTCAAGCAATGAGTGGATTCCTCTCTAGATGCCTGATGCAAGGGTGGGGGGCAAGAGATACCCAAGCTGATTGCTGTTGTCTCCTGCGATGAGTTCCAGTGTGGCTGATGCGATAACAAAAATCTGATTTGAAGTCCCTTTAATGCAATGGGCTGCTTGGGCATTGGTCTACAGCATGACAATGCACAGTGAGAGGGTATCTCCTACGTCTCACGCAGCATGTGGTTCACCTCATCTTGTCTCTCTTACCTCCAGCATGGAGGAAGGGAGTGGATCATGGCTGGCTTCAATCAGGGTCCCAGAGAGGCTTTCATACCCACCCTCAGGGTTGTAGAAGCCAGGACCATTGCTGCCAGTTTTGGTCCACAATGGAACAGCCGTGCTGGTAATTTGGGGTGGGGGGGAGAGGAGGAGGAGGCTAACCACCATTGGGTAATAGTTTTAAACACAGTTGCATCCTCTGCATTCAACCATACTATGGTGTATGTCTCTTTTTCTGTGTCCACATCAATGCAACACAATGATTAGTTATGAGGTGCAAAAGAGGGAGCAGACAGCACTGGCTTAGGCATTTGTGGTGTAGATTAATGTATAGATTAGCTGAGCCAGCAGCTAATTTTTTGCTGCTCTTTTCATCTTTGGTAATGTGATATATCTTTCAGTGGCTGAAAAGCATGCCAATGGTTCATTATCACAAACACTGCTGGAGCATAGTTGCCTTATTATATAAAATAAACTGAATCACACTCAATCTTATCTCAGTAGATTTCCCATAGCTGAAAAACCAAATTAAAATGTCAACAAGTTAGAATAAGAAGCACAGTTCTTTTGTTTTAAATTAAAACTCTTGATCACTCATGATTAATATTTAAAAGATCAGTTCTATTTATTTTCACAGAACATCTAACTTGAAAGTTGTCCAATGTAATTTGCTGGAAGATAAATTTACGCAGATAAAGTTACTGCTTGGGGAGTGGAGAGGAGTAGGAAGAAATGTGTGGGTAGTTCTAAACACATTTTTCTCAGTGTTTGTTTTGCAGTGTTATTAACAAAACGAAGTCTTTAAAGCCATCCCGAAGTTAAAAAATCTGTCTAACTCTCAACAGAGAAACAAACTACATTTCAAGTTGAACTGTGTCTATTTAATTTTGATAATCTTTCTAGAAACATGAGACACTGCATCACACTGTTAAAGAATTTTTGATAATAAGATACTGTCTCAACAAAGAAAGACACTTCCAGTGAAAATAATGTGTATATTTTTAATGGCTCTTTGAGTGCTTTTGGAGAGTTAAAAGTTTAGCCAACACACATACAGTATATATATTATTTTCAAGAGTGCTATCTTGGGAATGCAATATTTTTTTTAAAAGAGCAGTTTTATCATTTTCCCCCAGTGAATATTTTGCAATAGAAGCTCACAGCTTAAAGGTGATTCTAAATACAATATATATACAATTTATCCCACTCTCTCTCAGGCACAAACAGCTCAGATGTGAAAGAGAAAAGATGAGACCAAAATGGTGATAAAAGTATATTTGAGCTTCCAGTCCTATAATCTGATTCATGCAGATAAAACCCTTAATCCCCTTATAGAGACCAAATTAAATCAGTGGAGCTCTGCGTGGGCACAGGGGTCCATCCATTCACATCAGAGTGCAGTTTTGAGGCCTAAGCAAAAGACCGGATTCCATGTTTTTGTCTGAGCTAAACAGCCCTGATTGTCAATGATAGGGCTATATTTCAAAATCAGAACCCAGATCTGCATCTGAATTTTACGATTAACAATTGTGGCTTGTCTACAAAGGGAACAGTCCAGAATAGCTCTTTTGTCCACGTGGACACACTTATTCATGTTAAAGTCCCTTTATGCAGTTTAGCTTAATCCACACAAAGGCACTTTTGGTGTGGAATAAGACTGTCAGCACTGATAGCTAGTGAGGAATAAGTATTGCACTTTAAATTCACACACTGATTTATTTTGTGATGGCTTCCACATGTAGACAAATCTGATCTAACTCTTCAGATTCAGACGCTCCCAAACTCTGTTTGAAATCCAGATTTCCAATTTTGTGGCTCTCCCATCTCTAATTTAAATTCAAGTCTGTTTCCTCTTTAGATCTGTTCCCTGCTGCCTGTGATATAATTTTTATAGAAGAGTCTTTTGGGGTCTCTGATTCCCTCTCCTGCTTTCACATGAATGATTCTCCTGTAGCACAGTTATGCGTGGGGCTGAACAAGAGTGTGTAAAGAACTGCCATAGAAATTAACGAAAAAGCTTGTTTTCTTGTACATTCTGCCAATGTAGCAGAGAGTGTATTTCAGTGACCTATCTGCCTGGAGGAAATATTCTTCTGTAGAGGAAACAGCAGCCAGGGACCATATATACTACATACTCAAACTGAGCTTTTCAAGTACAGCTGGACATAACATACAAACATCCCTTGTGTTCAAACTGCTATTATGTTGAAACTTGCCAAGATACATGCTTGGCACTGCATTTGTGAGGGGGTTCAGTGGACTTAATTTTCTGTCTGGTAATTCATAATCCTGTCTACTGTAACATGATACTGCATACAGAATGCTTAACCTTTGGTTTGGTTGAGCAGGAAGATAGAAGTGGGTTATGTCTGCAGGATACACATTTCTAAGCCTGTAACCTGCTAACATGAACATCTGTTTTCTGGAGCTACTGCCACAAGGTAGTCTCTGGTAAAAACTTAAATGCCTCCAGGTTCTAAGTTAAAAATCACAAAATTCAGGAAATCCAAACTCCTCCTTGTGCTCCAGGAATAGGGTTCTCTTGTGCTGGGCATTGTTATATGTACGTTGAAATGTAGCTTAATGTTATAGCAAAGGTAAATGTCAGCTGTAAATTCAGTTCAACGAGGTAATTGCAGCCAGCTTGAGTGGACTCAGATTGTCTGGATGGCTGTTTTAGGGCTAGTTGACCACAGCCACATTGATGACATCTCAAGTTATTAAGCCAAAGCTATAAATTCATAACTTTTTTTGTATTTGTTTGCTCACTTAGTACTTTGTGTGAGCTCTAGCTGTGTTACTTTGAGCACTATTCCTGTACCGAAACAAAACTGAAACATTTATTACTGAACTTTCATGGACCTGCAACAAAGATTTTTACCAAAATTCTTTCACAAAATTATTTTTAGAGCAGACCTGAATTCCAGGGGGAAAGTTTGTATCTAGCTAACATTTAATACATTTTGACTCTAATAAGCAGTTGTGAATTAAAGGAAAGCAGGGTTGGGCGGAAGTTTCATCTAGTGACGTACCTTGAATAAGAAAAATCCATTAAAGATATACAGATTTGGATATAAATTGAAATTTAAGCAGGTAACATTTGAGCAAAAGAAAAAAATAGATGGACTACAATTCCATGAAGTTTCATTCAAAATGAAATTCTGTGCCCTTCTGTTCACTGCTAGTTATTTTATAAGTAAAGCTACCAAACTGTACTACAGAAAACTTTGCTTCGCTTCTGATGAAGCCCACCGAGAGCTACTTACAATGTTTTTCATCACTGCTGTCTTCGCACTGGTTGGTGAAATTCCACGCTTCCTTTGGTGGAACAGAGGATCCATTGGCACATTGGAAGTCATGCCCTGTGGATGACTGAACAATTAGAAGAGTGAGAGAACACCACAAACAACAGAAGCTGACTTTGTTCATTGGATACGCTACCATCCAGGCTTCCACTTTGAAGAGAACTATTGCAGCAAGCTAGTACTGGCCAAGAAGTGTCCATAAAAAGCCATGCTTACACATCTTGCTTTAAAACTTGATTTTCTAGAGTTACACGTGTTTAGAGTTTGATACTCTAACGAAATATGGTCTGAGTGAGGAAGTTACATTTGAGCCATATATCAGTGTGTCCTTGGAAAATATGTAACTAAATTGCATCACTTTTATGACTAGCGGGCTTGTTTGGTTGCATTACTATGCAAGCCAAGTGTATATCATTAACTCATTGATTGGAATTATTGCCTGATGACTGGCAAAAATGTCAGATAAGTAAACAACACAGGCACACATAGTATAATCAGACAGTTAGCAATATTCCTGAAGCCTTTTGTATCTTTTCTTGAAGTAATCTGGCAGCAATGCTTAAGTATAAGTAATTTATGAAGAGCATTATGCATGAACTGTAGAGATGTAGCAAATAAATTCAGCATTGATTTTAATATCAAAGTGATGACAAGTGACTGATCTATGGAGAATGAGAATTTGTATACCGTATCCACATATCATGCAGTAACCTCAGGCATGCTTGTATATGGGCTCAAAAGATGATGTCAACTGAACTACTTTGGGGTTGTTTTGATTTTGACCTTCTCTTTGTGAATCATTTCTAATTTGAGCAACCATACTGGATATTCACAGGTATTCTCCAGATAGCTCATTTGAACAAATGTGAGCCTACAGGTTGTTGCACATAGAATCATAGAAAAATCAGGGTTGGAAGGTGACCTCAGGAGGTCATCTAGTCCACCCCCCTGCTCAAAGAAGGACCAATTCCCAACTAAATCAATACTATTCACTTTGGCTGCTTACTATGCATGACATTTAATTTGGTCACCTTAGTCACATGGCATTGCTTCTGCCCCCCTGAGAGAATGATTGCATATTTTTAAGCAAGAGAATAACTAATAAATAACGTTCTTGAACTATACCCTTCTGTGTACAATGAACAATATGACCCCACAAATAGCAGCAAACCAAATTTTTCACGTATCCATGTAAGGACCAGGCACAATCGCTGCCCCAGGAGCAAAGAGGAATGGAGAGAGGGTTAGCTGTGGCTCCTCTGTCCCTATGTGTTGTCCAATGGAGCTGGGCAGCTCCTGGGGGAGGGGAAGAAAGTAAGCGGCACCTATGAAGCGGTGCAGCAATGTGTATGCTCCCCCCGGGGCAGTGCAGTACTGGGTTGAGCATACATGGCACAAATGAGCTGTAAGTCTATATCAGCTCAACAAATGTGGACAAAATGACATTCAGCTTTATAAACAGAAGAAGTCCAATTAACCCCGCTGCTGTTGCTAGCTGATTTGTTCCCATAGATCACTGTTCACTCCGGCAGAAGTCACCAAGCTTAAAAAATAAAATTCAAGTCATTCATAGCCAAAGCCAAATTCCCTTTACACACTCTAGAGCCTTTGAAGAACAGCACTGATTGAGGAGTTGACTGTCTTTAATCTGTGTGAAGTTTTAACATAAGGATAGTGGTATCAGGTTTGATGGTGGGGCAGACGTTCAGTCACTTGGAAGGCACAGATAATTCAGCTCCAGTTAGGGGTATTCTCACCTCAGAAAAAGAGCTCTGTGTAAGCTCGAAAGCTTGTCTCTCTCACCAATGGGAGTTGGTTCAATAAAAGATATTACATCATCCACCTTGTCTCTAAGTTTTTACATACACATTCATTGTTGTGTGGACCACCTTCCTTCCCATTGGTAATACCCTTGTGGTGATGTTTATATGGAATTGTTTATATGAAAAAGTAAGACTAGGAAAAAAGTTAATGCAAGGGGGGGGGGGCAGGGGAGGGGAGAAATGTGATCTAGCACCTAGAAGCAAGGAGAACCAGAAGTAAAGGACCAGCCAGCTCCATGGCCAAACAGCAGTGCCCTGCAGGCCACAGTTTAGTAACCTCTTTACTAGTCATTCTCACCTCAGAAATAAAGACCTAGTTGAACAGCTATAACCCTGACCATTTGTAAAGCAAAGGGGTGGTCTTCAGATCGCTGTATCTCAACAGGTTTATAACATGCTACATGAAAGTTTATCTCTTTATCTTCTCTGTATTTAATCTCAGTTGCTAAGCCATAAAGTGTGCTGTCACTAGAGATAGAACTATTTTCAGCAGGTAACATACAATATACTGTCTTAAGTACTCATCATTTAAGTGAGTCATGTAGTTGTATAATGTATTCAACATAATTCAGCATAATAACCTGACATCCTAAATGACAAAATGCCAGGGGGATTTGTTCTGCCAAACAACAAAATTATTTTCACATTGAAAAATCTTTTACCACTTCACAGGTCATTTTTTTCCCCCAAATGGGCAGCCAAAGCAGACCAGGATGATGGAATATTAGTGGCCATGAGGGAGAATACAATAAGCAATCATAATAATATATCCAGTTTTCAACAAACATTGAAAAAAACAAAGCAAGAGTCCAAGATGGTTGTCATCACAACCTAGGTATAGTGTTACTAGTTGAACAACCATGTCACTGCCCCTCCATGACCTCCCACTTTTGGAACTCGCCCTCTGAAAAGGCTCACTATGTTAAGTGAGCTGAACTCCCATGTTAAATTTTCAGCTCAAATCCTGTGCTGTGGCTGCTTTATGCCAGACTGCTGGGAGGAAGCAACTCTAACGCCTGTGTTACCAGCCACAGGAAGGTCATCATGCTGCAGGAAGATCATCTAGTTCAAAAAAGAAGCTTCTATGACATCTCCTCCCCATTCAGTTGATGTAAGGGGCATGACCATGGCTACCTTGATGCCCAGATGATTTCTGGCTATATTTTGTCCCTTGCAGAGTGCTTAATTTGTGCCAGGGCTTGCCAAGGCTGAGCCTCAGCAATTCTAGGCTTGGCAGTTCACAGCCCCACCACCTTTGGGCTTGCTGCATTAGTTATGAAAGTAAATCATTGCTTGTGCCCCAGCACCTCTTTCATTACAAATTAAACACTGCCCTTGTGGGTGTTAGCAGCTTATGTAACTTAGAGCTGCCTGCAGCCTCGATGCAGGGGAACTAACCTTGTACACAGCCAGCTCAGGACTGAGGAGTGCAAAAGTGACCTTGCGCCATTTTGACCCTCCTTTGTGAGCTGCACAAGGTGCTCTTCAGCAGCAACAAAGGACCTAGCCCTTCATTTTTAGGACCTATTTCCCTTTTACACATTGTGAAATTTCTCCACATGAAAAAAGTATTATATTGTAACTCTATTAATTTAGTCTGTCAGTCACATATATACTGCAGTAAAATGATCAGCCTTGTGCTACAGACTGGATTGTTCTCTGAAAAACAGCCAAGGAGAACCAAGAAGGTGAGCATACAACAAGGCTGATAGCAGCAATATTACGTAGATGTTTATTTCTTCCCCTCCAATAAGTAAATGAAAAATTTAAATACTCAAGATGGCTTAACCAGACATTCTGATCTGCTGGATCATTTGAAATGAAATGTGATTGGAGGACAGAAGATACAAGTAGGTGCTATATTCTGATTTGAATATTCTGAGCCAGTCAATGGTCCCATCTTGAACTGTTCTAGAAAGCAGTGCACTCCCTGGTGTGAAGTCAGACGGTGAAGTTCTGTCTTTTACAAGTAGCACTTTCTTCAGCGAAATAACACTAGGACAGCTCTCTGAGCATCAGCATAAAGTAATTGTTGGCAACTATACAAATACAACAGAACTAGCTACATTTTTAACACCCTCCCATTTCTGATTCCAATAGGTTTATTGTACTCCACAAGTATTACATTTGGGTGTATAGTACTGTATTAGGTATCCATACCTAGAAAGCATGTGTTCTCAATATCTTCTCAGAGTTGGACAACTTTGTCCATGGATTCAGCTCCCCAAAGTGCAGTGTGTCAAATCTGTGGGCTTGTCTACCCGGAGCCTTAGGGTATGTCTACACTACAGGATTAATCCGAATTTAGATAATTCGAATTTGGGAAACAGGTTGTATAAATTCGATTGTGCGCGGCCACACTAAGCACATTAATTCGTTTTTTAACCACATTAATTCGGTGGTGTGCGGCCACACTACCCCATTAACTTAAACACAGTAATTCGGTGGTGTGCGGCCACACTAACCCTAATTCGAATTAACAAAATCGATTTAGGCACTACTCCGCTCGTCGAGGTGGAGTACAGAAATCGATTTTAAGTGCCCTTTAATTCGAATTAACTGGCTCTGTAGTGTGGACGGGTGAAGGGTTAATTCGGATTAACGCAGCTAAATCCGAATTAAAGTCGTAGTGTAGACCAGGCCCAAGTCTGCATTAGAGGGGTATAAATTCTAGAGTGCACTAGCATGTTGCACACTAAATGGCCCATATGGACCCCTCTGGCATGCACCAGAAGGCCCCTTATGTGCGTTAATATTGTCCTATTTCAAACAATACTATATTAACACGTGCTAGTGCACATGAGAATTTACACCCCTCTAGTGTGGAGTAATGCACCATGTAGACAAGCCCTTAATCATAGCCATAGCAGAGGAACTGGCTAGGGATTTGGGATCTTGAGCTTTTTGAGTCTGGTGCAGATCAACAGTGACAAAATAGAACTGTCACCTGAAGAGTGTTCAGTGGCCTCTGTGAAATGAGTGGGTGTTCCCAGGGGTCAAGTGCCCACACTACTGAAAAGGCCATCACAAGCGATAATTCCATTTGTCCCTTGTAGTCTCATTGGAAAGGTCGCAGAAATGAAACTGCATTCCCTCCTCTAGAAATGGTCTCGCCATACCAGCCTCGAAACATTAGCTTAGCTCTGTTGGAAAGCTTGTATTGCTCATACATATGCAGTACCTGCTCTATGGCTATTCAGAGAACTTCAGCCTCAAAGCTTATCATGGTTGGAATTCTGGACCATTCTTGAGCATTAAAAAAAAGTCATGTTTAAAAAGTTAAGAACATAAATTCATGCTTCAGCAAGAACCTCTTTATCTAAAGTCACAGGCCTGGCTGACAAATCCACCA